AAAGAAAAAAGCAGTATCTTGCCATCCATGGGAAGAAACCACAGAAGTCGATGCCAAAGCTCAATGATTAAATCGGAAATCAGAAAATGGAATGAGTTAGGATGCCTTATTAAAAACACAGGCCGGAACATGCGCTCCCTACCGCGGATGGAACATCCTAAGCTTCTTAATGAAACAACACTGAGCCTGAGGCCGTTTAGTTCAAGATGGAACGAGGTCTGGAATCAGCATATTTTTACTATTTGGCTGTTACGCAGCACCCAGCACACCAGCAGCTTACTGAGATGGCTAAAGTTAGTTAGTTTTTTCTCTTTAACAGGGTTGAGCACTGAAAAGTTAATTCTTAGCCAACATTAAGTAAAAACACTTGTTGGAAAAATCAGACCCCTCGAAAGAGGCGTAAGAACAAATTTTCTTTCTGGGAGGTGCTGGGACAAGCTGCTTTTCAATTTCATTATGTTTGTTAAAATTTACTGTGAGTCATCTTGGAGAGGTCAAGTTCAAAGATTTCTTTCATAGTAGAGACATTCTGAGGCAAAAAGAACTGTTTGATACTCTCTATTGACTTCTGGATAAAGTGTATGGTACCTGGCTGTGGGTGTGGCTGGTGTGAGCAGGCGGGCAGTCTCAGAACAGTTCTCATCTGGACTCATAAAGACACACAGGAATTTCATCAGGAATGCTAACTTTCCTTCCAGAAGGTTCTACCAGGAATTTCTCCTTCATGAGACGAGGGGCAGCGTGAGAAGATTCTCCATTGGTAATACTGCGTTAGAAACACTGAGCTTTGAACCAGGTTCAGGTGGCTCATTGTGTAAAAGAATTTAAGGTGGCGGGCATTGTGGCATGGGAGCTACAGTGCCCACCTGCAATGCCAGCATCCCATATGGTGTGTCGCTTTGTGTCCCAGCTGCTTCACTTCCTGCTAACACACCTGGGTATGCGGTGAAAGCTGGCCCAAATGCTTGGACCCTTGCACCCACACAGAAAACCCTGGATTCGGCCCGACCTGGTGTGCTGGCTGTTGTGACCATCTGGGTTCCCTGCTGTCTGTCACACTTTCAAACAAATAAATCTTTTTGCTTCTTTTTTTTAAAGAAAGAAACCAAGGCTCTTTAGAAAGTGTGCACCTCACACTACCGTCTTATGATAACGGAAGGCAGAAAGCCTACCGGCTCTCTACTGACCCCTGCCATTTGACTTGAGGAAGTACATCACGTGTTTTTTGTAAATATCTCAAATATTTCCAGCAAACTTCCTAGATGAGTTCAGAAATAGAAAACTGAGGTTTCTAGTGCCTTGTTCATATGGATTGATTTCTGGGATTCTAAGCAAGGGAGCTACAGGGGGCTGGCAGTCAGGACTCCGCTGCGGCCATCACAGGAGCCACGGGCAGAGCCAGAGCAGGCACTGCCATGGGTACCTGAGTAACGCTTCCACTGAATCCTCCCCAGCATGCTGCACCACACACAAATGAGAGAAAAGCCTTGGAGTATCCACGTAAGACTATTTGGAATGCAACCTCTTCCAGACGGCTTGCACTGCTGCAGAAATGGCAGTCTGCAACAGAAACCAGGAAGATGCAGTCGGCCTCCCAACATCACAGGCCACACCCGGGACAGGTAAAAGAAAAGATTCTCTTACCTGATGCTTTCAGCAGAAGGCCTCCAAATGGACCAAAGTTGCTGGCTCCTTTATCAGGTGGGCAACAAGTCCTGGGGTACTGAGAACTGTGAGAGGAAGAGGAGAAAGAATGACAAAGGATCCAGCTTACTGGTCAGTCCCCCAGCTTTGCAGCCTCTTGGGAAATGACTTGCCAGAATTTGCCACTGCATTGGGGTTGGGGACATTGCTGGATGAACACAATGACTGTGGGACGAGTGGTACCACTGGAGGTCAGCGTGGACCCTCCACTTGCCACTCCCTCCAGGTTAGCTGGACAGACGACCTCAGTGCTGGGGACAGTCCACAAGCCCAGCTCCACCGGTCTAGTCAGCTTAACGTGCCTGCAGCGCAGCCAGGGGTACTACCTTTTGTGGAAGAAGAAAGCTTCGGTGTCCTGGTGTCCCGCATGCCTGTGGTTGGGCAGGGTCCTTCCTCGCTGCTGCTCGCACAGCCAGCGATCCTACAGAAGCAGCTGCAGCCATCACGCCCAGCACTGCAGCTCCACATCCTGTAGCTGCTTCACGTTTCCTCTCAAAACACCGGCCACAATTTTTGTCTTTTGATCATCTGTGGTAGTGAAAAGCCTTTCCCATGATAAACCATCTACAATTCCTTTGGTAGGTTGTATTTCTCACTACAGATCTCTTTCAATCCTTTAGCAAGATTGTAGGATTTTTTTAATCTAAAAAAAAATGCGTCCCATAACAGAGTATTTCCACTTTCACCATTTCTTGATCAATGGAAGCTTTTAAGATCTGTTTGAAAGGCAGAGTTGCAGACGGAGAAGCAGAGGTCTCCCGTCTGCTGGCTCACTCCCCCAGTGGATGCAATGGCCTGGCATGGGTGGGGCTGAAGCTAGGAACCAGGGGCCCAGGCACTGGTGCCATCTTCTGCTTAGCAGGGAGCTGGGACTTGAACCAGCATCCACAAGGGATGTCACTGTCCAACACCAGACCTGTAACTTCATTCTCAGGGCTGGTGTGTGGCACAGCATGTTACACAGCTGTTCAAAACACTGGAATCCCATATCAAAGTACTGGTTCAAGTTCAGACTGCTCTGCTTCTGACCTAGCTGCCTGATACTTACTACGCATGTGGGAGACCCAGGCAAAATTCCTGGTTCTTGGCTCCTGGTTTTGGCTTGGCTCAGCCCCCAGCTATTGTGGCCATTTGGATAATGAAACAGTGGATGAAGATCCCTCTCTCGTCTTCCCTGCTTTCAAATAATCTTAGGAAAAATCAAATTATTCCTAAGACATCATGCAGCATGTTGGCTGATGCCAAAATCTTGGAGTGTGAAATTGAGTGGCTAGGGGTGTAGCAAAAGCAAACAGCAATCAGACTTGTAGGTCTGGATGGAATGAAAGTTGGAGCTGACTTTCTCAATGGGCTATGAGGGCAACCCCAAATGTGGGTGGTAAGGCTGGTTCACCTCCCCTTGGAAGGCTTTCTCAGTGACCAGGAGGGTGTGTACCTGCCTCGGGTGCAGTTTGCTACGGTGCCTCACTTGAAGCTACTGGACAGGCACTCTGTCCACAGAACTGGGCAGATGTTACTAGAGTACTTTGAAAGTCTACAAAAGCAAAATTTAAAGAAACTTGTCAAAAATTTAGAAATGTAGTCTTCTAAAGTTTATGGAAAATGCATGAGATGAAAAAACAAAATGAACAATTTCAAGACATAGTGATAGCAACAGAGGAGCGTGCAGGCCCACAGGGAGTGACGAGCAGAAACCTGGAGCTGGGAACTGAACCAGAGCCGACATGCAAGCACTCCCACGGTGTCGCAAGCGATGACTGCACGCCAATGCCTGCCAGGTGCCCACTTCTTACTGTGGTTTGCCATGATTTATTTCACATCCTAGGAACCCTCTACTTTATCTTGTAGTCTTCATTGAGTCCCCTATCAGCAAGATTGACAGGCTGCTTTGGTCATATAATACTCAAATTATTGCTAACTACCTGTATTTTCCAAGCTGTTTATATCTTATGACAATTGATTTATGAAAACAGATACTATATGAACCCCCTTCTATCTTTCCAAGTAATTGTACCCTTACAATGCAGGCCTACTGCTAGGCACCGCTCCTGTTTTCTATACCATCTCAAACCTCTCAAACATGCGGGTGGCTGTTAACTTTGCCAGGGATTCAGGGCTGAGTAGGGAATGTACTCAGGGAACAAGGTTTCCACCCTCAGGATGGCCTTGACAGTGACTCATCCTACACAGATAGCACATTCAAGTCAGCACAAGGGTGAAAGTCCCCAGTGACACTGAGCTGCGTCCAGAATCAGCTTTGTCAGTGTCCTCTCCCAACAGGGTCAAAGTACCCTGTGATTATGAAGATCCAGGTAAGGCTGGTGTGCTTAGAGGACAATGTCATTTTAACATCAAGTATCCTCAAATACCAGTTCACATGTAGCCAATGGTCTTAACTGGCTGTCAACAAGCAGCCAGCCTGGGCTGTGTAATCCCAGTGGGACAGCCACGCCTACTGGCTGACACTGGCTGCAGCCCGGCTGCTCTGGCAACTCCAGGGCTGACAAGCCTGCAGTGTTAACGGTCCTGTCTTTTACCAAACAGGTTGCTCAAGGCCTACTTTGGGACTACAGGACCATGCTGTCAGGTGGCAAAGGCCAATTTTTGTATTTTCTACTCATTTGTTCTGGAATTAGGAGCATGTTGGGGAAGACTTAATTCTGATCCACAGGCCATGTTAAGAGAACAAGATCTAGCACATTCCCAATGATACTCTGCTGCCTCAACTGGAATTGTGAGCCACTGAGCCCTTGGAATCAGCAGCAAAATACTGCTCTACTTTTGGATGGATTTTGATATGAATAATTTAGCTTCAAACTTGTTTGTCTGAACTTAGCTTCAAAATGTTTCTATTCAAATTTTTTGTGTGTGTGAAAATAAATCAAGCATTGTTCATCCTTCAATAGAGTTGTGTATCACAACATGGGGATGTCTTTTCACTCCTCCTCTCCCAACTCCATCTCAGAACTTCCAGGCGCTGGACACGCGTTCCTTCCAGGGCAGTTCACCTTCTGCCACAGTGTTGATCAGGTTTCCAGAGCTGAAAGAGGAAGAGTCGGCTGTTCTGGGCTACTTCCTCCTTTGTGCCAAACACTACTAAGGGGCAGAACGATTTCTACAAAACACAAACAACACAGCAAGATCCTGGAAAGCAGGAGGCAGGATGCATGAAGTCAAGTTCCAGCCACTTCTGCAGTCTTTCTGACTCCAGGCGAGTGTCCACCGCCATCAGATCACAAAAAATAGTGTTGATAACATCTATGCACCCCCCCCCCCATTTATTTCAACACCAAGTGCATCAACAAGATTTATTTGCTCATGGATTTACTGATGGCTGTGTCAAACTACAACTCCACAGTTATGATAAAATGGCCTCATTACAGAAATGTCACATCAGCCTTAAGACAATTTTACTTTGAACTTACAGCATTAAAAAAATACTCCAAGTTGAATTTTGCTAAAAATTTCTAACACTTGTGCGTGTAACTTGTTACAAAATTTCTGGAAAGTGTAAGGGCCACACATATTTATTTCTCCTTCCACAAATAGCTTGGATTCATAAACAACATGCAAGGTCACTACACCTGGTACAAAGGCCAAGGAAAACAGCATGAAGTGTCATCTTGCATAGACAGAATGAGGTATTGAGAATGCGTCTCCAGGTGACTTCAGTGGAGTATCAGTTCACGGAGCAACATCTTCTAGTTCCGAGCCCTGGGCTTTGGGATCGTGGACATTCCCCTCTCTAGGAACTTGACTCAGTTCCTCTCGCTCCTCTGCTCGTCAGCTTGGTCCGCACAGACCCCGTGACCACCGAAGTACTTCTTTTCAAAGGCCTTAGACTTGCTACACGTACATCTCATCAGCCCATCAGCGCGTAAATGTGAAAGTAGGCGGAATTCTTGTTTCCACAAGGGCTCTCCAAAAACACCCTAGTCTTCCAACCACCGTGACAGCTCAACTCAGGCATGCTTGTCACTTTTCCATTTCTTTTCTCCTAGGGCTACAGTACTTTCAGTGCAAAACAAAAACCACAGCGCTCCTGCTGACTGCTCGGGGTGCTCTGACACATGTCCCTCTCCCTCCCACAGGAACACAGGAATAAAGCAGCTGCAACCATCCCCACACACCACAGGGGTCCCAAACGTCCCCCAAACGTCGGAATTGCACGGTCACGCCACTCACTAGTGAGGCCTACCTCACTGAAGGGTGTCTGCTCCAAGCGAACCATCCCAACACAGTCCACTCTACCTTCTCTTAAATTTCAGACTGAGTCTTAATAAAGTAATACAAATCATTTAAAGAAAACAAATCTTTAATTTTAAATTCTGACCTATGCATAAAATTCATTTTCATATCACGGTTAAATTTAGTACAAACTATAAAAATGTTAACACTGAAATTTTCAACAGAAATCTAGTTAAGATCCCTTAGAAAAAAAAATATACTTAAGGAAAACAATAGCAAGTCATGTACTGTTATGAGGTGAACACATAAAAACACTCAGATTGTACTGAAATTTTAAATAATGCCAGCCATTACACATCATAAAATTAGAGTTCAAAGGCTGTATGTGACCCTATAGCAATTACAATTTGCAATGAAAATTCCAAATCCAAATTGTTTTTCTCATTTAACCAAAACAATTGCAGGAAAAACAAATATCGGTTGGAAAATTCGCAGACTTTAAAAAGGATATCAACTGCAAATGGAAAGGTATATCATAACCTAGCTTAAGCCAAAGCAGAAGATGATAAAAACAAGATGTCCTTGCTTGAACTGTATAGGGAAAACGGGAGGGATGGGAGAGGGCCAGGGGACCATTCAGAGCCATAGGACTACTTTAAAAAAATACTAGATCATTCTTAGAGAAAAAACATTAAATGAATCAAGGCCAGACAGTACTGAACTTTTACACATTACTCTTGTGTTTCAACTTTGTTTATTGAGGAGTGAATGAGACTACTGCCAGACATGCCAACGACACTTCACATTCAAGGGCTGGAAGCTCAACGGCCTCCACGCCGAGTCACTGCACTTAGTCTTTCGGGAAAAAGAACCGAAAAGTGGCATCAAATAGGACATCCTCATGCTTGCTCTTTGTCACTAGGTCTTTCAACTTTTGGGTCTACTGCTTTGCTGGGTAGGTTTCTTCCTACCCTACCAAAGAACTCATCTCCAATTATGGAATGAACACTAGGTGTAGAGCAACTGGTTTCAACACACATCTGCACTGAGCAACTGATCTTAAAGCTGTTTTTTCTTAAAATTCCTTATGACTAATGAGAAAAATTAATTTTCTTTCGCTTTCCCTTCACTCGAGTAGCTTACACCAATAGAAAAATAGTCTTCAGCACTACTGCAGGGCTGACAGGGAACTCTTGAGTGGTGTGAGAGGAATCCGCGGGCTCACTGGGCAACATAGCGCTGCTCCACCTGCTGCGGCTCCCCGGAAGAATGGCCTACACAACTCTACCGCTCTCCTTTGCTCAAAAACAAAACAAAGAAACCTAAACAAAAGGGTCAACGTTTATTTGGAGTTAGTTTCGCGGTGGGTGCCAAGCCCTTCAGGCCGAGTGGAGGAGCTCCTGGATGGCGGCCTGCTGCTCCGGGCTGAGCTGCGCGATGCACTCGGCCCACAGTCCTCCAGAAGTCTACAAGAGAACACAAACACGGGCACGGACTCAGGGCGGGGACCCACGGGGGGCGTCGTCACCCACATGGGCACTCGCAACGACCAACAGCTTGATGAACATCAGGAAAAGCAAGAAATCTGCCGATTTCTTAAAGCTCCATTCACTCACTGGCACGCGAGTTTTCCTTCATTTCTGCACTGACATAACTTCCACTGGAAGATGGCGACTTAAAGTCACCTACACATCACGGGAATTTAGAAAGCAAAAACAATTTAAGTAACCTTTTTATAGCTGACAATTTTTTCGGACTTTCCCAGTCAGCTTACCTGGACTTGGCGAACCACATTAGCCAGGCGCTTGGCACAAGGGTCTGCATGTTTAATTGCTTCGTGCATCTCTCCCTCTGCAATTATACTGAATATCTTGGGCAGATTGGTATTGTTCGGGCCAAGAACAATTGGGTGATTACTGACAAAAGAAAACTTTTATAAGTCAAGCTTATAGGGAGAAATTATTGAAGTTTTTATATTTATACACAGTGCATTTTGTTCTAAGGTCTCTACAAATGATTATATATTCAGTAAAATCAAAGGCCTTTAGCTTTTTCCTATTTGAATTAGAAAAACAATCCTGGTTCATCTTTTTGGATTAAAGTAGGAAGAATCAACTGAATGAATTACTTGAGAAATGGTTTTGCAATGTGCTATAAAAATACAGTATTTACCAAGAACAATTTCTTAATACAAATTTAACTTTGCTATTTTAAAACAATTTCTAAAGTAAATCTGATGTTCAAAGAGACTATATGGGCATTTCCAGAGTAAGCAGGCAGGTTTAATGTAAGAAAGTCTAACAGTGAACTGAGTAGAGTTCTTGGTTTTATCATTAAGAGAATTTCGTAAGAGTCATCTCCAAAGGAGACACTCCAACAGCATGCTGGAAAGCTGGCCATTTCAGACGCAGGAGCAGGAAGAAGTGTGGCCTGTGGGATGGCTGTTACGTTCTTTCATGATGTTCTCAATGGAAGGACACAAAATACAAGCATCTCATGAACTGGAACTTCAACAGGTGGGAAAGCATCTATGCCTGTGGGCCTCCTGCTCAAACTCCAGAGGTTCAAGAGCTTGGGTTTATTTACAAACAGCAGAAATACTAGTCAACAGGAGAACCCACCTATGACTAATATTTAGGGAAACGTGGACTCAGGAAAACAAAATTCCGGATCTTCATCGCTTGGCCAGCACAGTGGTTCCCTCTTCCCACTGACTTTTGAATCCAAAGAAAAACTATTTTTTTAGTATTAAATGACACTAGCAGTGTATGCTGATCTTATCCTAAAAACTGTACACTCAATGAAACAAACATGATGCATTCAAATGAAACAATGAGTATTGTCAGAATCATGACAATAACCGTAAAACAGATTTTCTCAAAATAATGTCTCCAGAATCCATTCAGTTTCATTCCAATAAAAAACCCTAAAAATTAGGTATTATAATATAATCTCAACTACAGTTTCTTTTCTTCCTTTAAGATTTATTTACTCCCACTGGAAAGGCAAGAGACGAGAGAGAGCTGGTTCACTCCCAAGCAGCTGCAATGCCTGAGCTAAGCTGTTCTGAAGCCAGGAGCTAGGAGTCTCCTCAAGGGCTCCCACCTGGATGCAGGGTCCTAAGTTCCATGGCTATCCTCCACTGCTTTCCCAGGCCACAAGCAGAGAGCTGGATGGGAAGTGGAGCAGTTGGAATATCAGCTGGTGCCGTATGGGGTTCCACTGAGTGTAGGGTGAGGATTTAGTCACTGAGCCATTGTGCTGGGTCCTCAACTACAGTCTGTTAACATGATTTGTAAAGATAGCCTCAATATAAACCTGTAAAGCTACAGGGCATACAGAGATTGCAGAGTTCATCAGATTTTAGGGGATGGCCAGGGGTGGCCAAGGTAAGCTAGGAAGCACTGTTTTCCATCCAGGGAAGGAAATGAGGCCAGCGTGGGGTTGCTTACCTTTCAATCAGGTCACACAGGTAATTGAAAGTCTGAACAGCTTCTTCTTTGTCTTCATGCAGTGGCAGCCAAGACAGCCAGTGCGGTAGCACTTCCTCCACATTCACACAATCGGGTTTGAACTTCATGATTTTGCCCACGGCGGAGATGCAATTCTCGGTAGCATTGACATTTTCTTTGGTCTTAGAATCTGCAGACTGAATAACTCTTACAAGCAGTGGAAGGGCCTCTGAAACACCATGTGGAAAATGAGGTCAGTTGAAACCTCACGAATGCATGTAAATGACCAGATACTTTTACTTTTTGTTCAGTTACTGATCACAGTGGTTCATTTTAGTCAGTCAATGAATCTCATTTTGGCATTTCAGAAAACATGCAGTTTTTACCTTCCTGCCCCACCATCGTTCAGCGGTCACAGGCATAGGCAGCACTTTACACTGCTGCCTCAGAGACCTCACACACCTTGCCCACCTGGGAGGAGAAGGAGCTTCCAAAGCAGCTGACCCCCACCCCCAAGGCTGGGGTGTATGCCCCCCAGGTTTCAATTAAACACACCTGGAAGGCTGGGCAGGGCAAAGCTTTGATCACTCTCTCATTTTACTTTATTACTATTATTACTTTTTAATCATTCATTTTATTTCCACTTCTATGAGAAGACAGTAAACTTCTAAATGCTATGGATGAAGGGTTTAGAAAAAGGGGAAGAGAACAAACCAGAAACAGGCAGAGTGTCTTGGGTGTGGCAGAGGAGATAGGGATAAAAGGACGCCTTGAAGGAGAAGCACGTAATCACCCCCGGTACCTGTACAGAAGGGGCGGTAGTTATCTCCCCCGTACTGCGCCATGACGCCCAGGCCGTAGGCAGCTGCCTGCCTGACTTCCGGGCTGCTGTCACACACGTACTGCAGCATCGGCCTCAGGAAATATTCTGCATACTTAAATGAGGCTGGACTACAGTGCTCGATGACATCATCAAAGATGCACAGTCCCCACTGTCTATCTGGCCAAGGCCGATGTGGACACTACAAAAAGAAAAATTTCTTGTTTAATCACTACTACCATTGAGCAGGAAATATAAAGAAATTTATGCTCACTGTAGTCTAGTTGCTTCATTGTTATTCCCGATATGAGCAAGAAAAAACAAACCACAGTAACACCCACTTCCTGATACTAACAATATTCACATTAATATCCAGACATAATGAAATTCAGGTTTTACAGTATATGCAGTTTTAACTTGTCTTTTGGCTAAGATCAAGTGTACAAGACACACCATTTATTATACAACCCTATATATCAAGATATGCATTTACTTTGTACAACAGAAAACGGTAATATTGCATGTAAAAGATATGAGTCTGCGAATATTTTAACTCTGTAACAATGACTCCATAAGCCAAGTCCTGTGTGTACAATCTTTCATCCATCATGAAACAAATACTTTTCTCATAGAAGCTACTGATCCTAAAGGAAATTAATGAATGAGTAGGTACTCTTTGCATGATCTGCTCATGTTGGTTGTGAATCTGAGACTAAACTATAATGTCTATAAAAACACAAGAGGCCTTTATCCACAATTCCTGACTTGTGGCCATTTCATTAACAAGGGTCTTAAGTGAATCTTCCATGGTCCACTGAAAAAAATGTAATCACTGTTTTCATTTATTAATTTGGCAGGGCATAGATAACCTGAAATAATGAAGATCACTTGTAAGCCTTTATGATTGGCCCATGGAAAATTTTCACTAGCAACACAGCAACCTTGATGACATTTTAAGATACTCAGTGGAAGACTTGGAGGTAAACTACCCAAAATAACCACTAAAGAGTTATCACTTACAATCAGGTTGACAATTAACGGGAGCAGCTGTTCAAACCATGGTAACACCTTTTCCTTGTAGCTACTGAATATTGAATGTAAAATATCTGACACTTTGGTCAGAATATAGACATCATTATCATCCTAAAAAAAAAATCCATATGGATTAAAAATTCATCTATTAACAATGCAACATTTATACAAAGTACAAGAGAGGTAGATAAATTTCTCATTCCTATCTTAAGGGTTTTTCAGAAACTAAAGATGGTAGCAACCTTAAGATTGGGTATGGTGCCTCCTACCTGCCCACGTGGCAAGTACTGTACTCACTGCAAAAGTTTTCCTTGAACACTGCTACCTTCTGAAACCCAAATGTTCTTATATGACCCTTACTTTTTGTTTTCGGCAGAACCTTCTCCTGGATGGGAGACTGGGGTCTCGCGGTTGGTGCCAGTTTGGGCCTAGCAGGAGAGCACCTGCCAAGACCTGGGAGCCAGTCCTGGGCAGCACTGGCCTTTCCAGGAACAGGCCACAGGTACCGGATGTGACACAGTCCACAAGTCTGGGGCTACCATGTAGACTTTGGACAACTATTTAACTAAGGCTTGAGGTGATTTACCCTCAAGATGATTTTGAATGCACCACCAGATACAACATGCAAAGAAAAACACTGGGTAAACTTCCAAGCTGAGGTGCAGGGAATACAACAAAAGGCAGAGAATTAAAAAAAAAAAAACAAAAACAAAAACAAAAAAAACCCCACAAAACCAATCCCCCAAAACAAAAAAAGCCTACGAGTTAATTTCAAGTTACTTATGCAAACCCTTGTAATGATCACTGTGATGCCGCAGACACGGAAGCCCTGAGGATGCACACACTGAGCTCAGGAAGGAAGCTTTACCTCATCTTGTAGTGACTCTTCCACCTGCTCGTCATAGTCTTCATCTTGTCTTTTCACTAAAATGTACCCAAAGAAACGTTTTAGAAAGATCGCCAAACTGGCGCAGGATCGCATTCAGAAACAAGCAAGAACAACATACCTTGCCGCAATTCTTGGTTTTTAAAATGTTCTTCAAGTTTTGCTTTCAGTATTCCTCCCAGTTCTTCAAAGTGTTCATTATTAAGGCAGCCATCTCCCATTACTTCAACGCACTAATGAGGCAGAGGAAACAAGGCAATCTCTAAGGGGTCTGAACAGCCAGAAGGTAAGCTTTATTAGGTGTCAACTGGGGGACTAGCTGTGGCCCAGTGCATTAAGCTGCTTTCTTCTGCAACACCAGTATCCCCAGTCAGGGCCAGTCTTAGAGTCCTGGCTGCTCTCTTTCTGACGGGCCTCTGACACATACAGAGGAGTTCCCGACTCCTGGTTGTGGCCTGGCACAGCCCTGGCCACTGCAGCTATTCGGGAGTGAAACAGCTGATAGACAGTCTGCATTTGTTCTCTCCCAGTCATGACTGCAAATAAATAAATACAGAGCACTGAAGGGTCAGTGTAGAGAGAATGAGCCTAGGTGTGAAAGGAAGCACAAACGAAGGCAGGGGAAGAGCCCTTCTACCTGTGTGGAACAAGCTACACAACGTGCCAAGAGGGTGGGTGGGGGGAACGGACTGGGAAGGAATGCGACTCCAAGAGAGCAAGTTCAAGCTTGGAAAAGGAGGATGAATGAGGAGGAAGAGAGATTTTTGGAGTGTGGTGGGGACATTTCCACAGCAGACAGGAGAAAAGCTAACTGGGAGTAGGAGTGGGAAACACAGTTCAGGAGGGAGACTTGAACTGGTGATGGGCCTCAGGCTGCGGTGGCTGGACCGCAGGTGACTGACGACTGAAGCCAGTGAGATGGGCAGAGAGCCAACCACGCCCTCCATCTATCTAATACCAACTGCCCGGGCAGACTGACCCTGTAGTCAGGGTCTTCTCTTAAATAACACAGCTTTTCACTTACTTTCTAAGAGGCAACCATTTACCTTTGCAAATGAATGCATAATCTCCGAGAGGACATCCGAGTCTGGTTCTGTGCCAATGGCCTTGATGAGAGCATCACACATGAAATGCCACATCTGGGTGAGATACTCCGGCCCTCGGACCCGGGCACACTCCAGGAGAAGGGGCATGGATTCTGCGGCTGCTACACGGACACGTTTGATTGTTAAGGAAATGCAATCATCATGGAGGCTCAAGACTTTTTTTCTTTTTGTTACCTGGTTTGTTCACTAAGTTAACAGAAGTGCTAGGTAAGAGTTTGTTAAATATAAAGTAGGCATCAAAGTGTAAAGTCTGCTTCCCCTGGAATACACTCCCTGCCCATCACCTACAACACAGCAGGAATAGTTTGGCAGCTCACATGTACCAACACAGAATGCCCGGCGGGGAGGTCGGGGATAAAATGCTGCTTGCGTGCCAGCACCTCACACTGGGGTTCTGGCACCCACATGGAGCACCAGATGAGGATGGGGTTTCTGGCTCCGGACTTCTGCCTGACCCTAACCCGAGTATCGTAACATTTTGGGGATTGAAAGAGTAGCTGGAAGATCTCTCCATCATCCTGCCTTTTCAATCAATCAATCAATAAACGGAAAGAAACTGTGAAAGGGCAGAGGAGCACTTCTCAAAGACAAGTACTGAAACTTCGGGTAATGTTTCAAACAATGCAACCAGAGCTATGAATTTCCTGAGACTACTGATCTCTTCCTAGCCTAGCTTTGACGGTTTCCTTTTTTTTTTTTTAAAGATTTATTTTTATTTTTATTGGAAAGGCGGATATAGAGAGGAGAGACAGAGAGGAAGATCTTCCATCCGATGATTCACTCTCCAAGTGAGCGCAACGGGCTGATGCTATGTCGATCCGAAGCCAGGAGCCTCCTCTGGGTTTCCCACTCGGGAGCAGGGTCCCAAAGCCTTGGGCCGTCCTCTGCTGCTTTCCTGGGCCACAGGCAGGGAGCTGGAAGGGAAGTGGGGCTGCCGGGATTAGAACCGGCGCCCATATGGGATCCCGGGCGTGCAAGGTGAGGACCTTAACCACTTGCGCCACCGCGCCGGGCCCTAGCTTTGACGGTTTTCAACGAGCATTAAGTTGCATCCCTCGCTCTAACACCAATTTAACAAGGGCCTGATTCATTTCCTCAAGGAAGCACTCTGACCTGCCTGTGGCACCATGGCATGCACATGTTGGATGAAGTGGGCTGGCTTCAGGAAGCCCACAGATAGAGAATGTTACAGTAGCAGCGACAACAGAGCTTGCAAGACAGGTACAGGTAGGTTTGGCTCCAGGTTCTATCACTCCTCTGGCTTATCTCTATTTTGCCCACCCATGAAGCTGCGTTCACGTACAAGGGCTTAAGAATGCACCTACGGACATTTCAAGATGCAGATCTCAGATGCTGATCTGCTAAAGCTGCTATTATATTTGAAACACAGGATTATCTTTGCACTATAGGATGTTAAGTTCTCAACTCATTATGAAAGCATAACCTAGGAAAGTTAAAGCAGCAACTGTCTAGAGTTGTAAAAATCCACTAGAACATTAACCCTTACAAATCTGAAGGCATGACAGAAAGCTGACAAGACAGGAAACACTACTCCTTCGTATTACTGGCACAGGTGCCAAGGGCACACAGAGTTTACAGTCCATAACTAGAACCATATATAGTGAAAGTAAAACATACTCCAGTTAACATAAAGTTGGACACCTAAAGAACATCCAGGAGCAGTTCTACGCTTGGCAGCTGCAGGAGGGGCAGGTGCTCGGTACAGTGGTTCAAATGGTCACGTCCAATGTGAGCGTGCCCTGCGAAAGCACGCATCTCTCTTGGAATTGAGACCTGGAAGGTGCTTCCAGCTTAAGCCCAGAACTGGCCATTTGTGGGCACTGATCTCTAACAAGTAAACCAACAAAACCCGAGTTGCAGGATATCATCATGGAAATAGAACTTCAGTAATGGGACCATCAGCTTGACAACCTGTTCGGTATATTCCACAAAGCCTTCCTTTAATTCCTTAGCATAGCAAACCTGAAAACAAAGTATTGGGGTGAGAGGGAAGAGACAAACAAGATTCATGTTACTTTTTAATAGCAAAATCATAAAACTAATTTAGCTGCAGTTAAAGTACGTAAAAGTTTATCAAATTAATCCTCCAGAGAACTTTTTCAAATGAGCAGGGGCATTAAGTGACTATATAATATACAGCCATTCAAAAGCTAGAATTATTTTTATTTCTTGCTTGTAGCAGAATTTAATCAAAGTTTCAGCACCATAAAAATATTTTAAACAAAATGTTATAGTTAAAAATGAAAATTTCAGTTAATTGTATTCATCTACCAACACTTGTATTATTTTGTTTTTATAAATAATCAACCGTGAATGAAAAAGATAGTGCAGTTTTTCAACAATTACTTCTTCATTCTCTTTTAGTACAGTAATAGATAACTGTCTATAAATGTTATAGCTTTATTTGCTTTCTGGCTGAGAAAAAAGACACTACAGAAGTTCAAAATGTTTATGGATTACAGGTATTAAGAGTACAATATTAGAAAAATTACAAGAGAGGCACTTTTAAATGCTAATGAAAACAGTAACCCATTATAAGGAAAAACATAATTTAAGGAACTTTTACTTAAGTTTAGTTAATACATTTGTAATTACTAACATTTCTCAATTCTAAAACATAAATCACTTTGACTCAAGTACACAGCAAAAAAAGAAAACTGGAAAAGAATATAAACCACATACTTCTCCTGACAATTATAACACTTTGGTTTTCCCACTGGGCTTTTTTTCTTTTGCACAACTAAAATTATACCTTTTTCGTTTTACCTTTAACATCATGCACATGCACACATTGTATTGAACTAAATGAGGACATAAACTAAACGACTGGTAAAAGTATGGCTTCTTGGGCCAGGTGGCATGGCCTAGAGGCTAAAGTCCTTGCCTTGAATGTGCTGGGATCCCGTATGCCTGCCAGTTCTAATCCCGGTAGCTCCACTTCCCATCCAGCTCCCTGCCTGTGGCCTGGGAAAGCAGTTGAGGACAGCCCAAAGCCTTGGGACCCTGCACCCATGTGGGAGACCTGGAAGAAGTTCCTGGATCCTAGCTTTGGATTGGCACAGCACTGGCCGTTGTGGTCACTTGGGGAGTGAATCATCAGAAGGAAGATCTTCCTCTATCTCTCCTCCTCTCTGTGTATCTGACTTTGTAATGAAAATAAAATAAATCTCAAAAAAAAAGTATGATCTCTTACCAACATCTGACAAGCAGTGGATTTTTCTTCTAGTCCTGCAGTTTTAATACCAAAACTCTGCTGATCTCCAAGGTTTACAAATTCCCAACCATCATCATCACTCATATTCTCCATGTCTTGTGCTATGAGAAGAAAAGAAAATTGCATACATGATATACCAACTAAGATGAAACCGCACAACCGGCACATCCTCATGAAGACACCTACTATCTAAAAGGGCTACTTCGGGCTTGATTGAAGCTGTCTTCATCAAGGGCCCCATAACCACAGGAAGGTACTGCTGAAATTCTTTTCCAAGGATTTTGCACATTCTGGCCCAGGCTGAGATCATGTAAGAGATCTGGGGGAAAATTTTAAATTAAAATTATTTTAAAACAATGGGTAAGGCATGATAAAGAAAGCTCTCTTCCCCTTTACAAAACAGCATTTTACTGGTATGTCCATGGCATACATGGGCATACACTTAAAATGTTCAGACTCAACTAGGAATCCCCTGTGAACACTATTAAGAAATGGAAAGCAGGTGAGGCAAGAACAATGCCCTCCCACTCCCAAAACCAAACCAGGCTGTGCTCATTTCTGCCCAAGAAGCAAATACAAGTAGCTTTCTCTAGCAACATGTCAACTCTGAGACACTAATTTGCCTTGCCTTCTGTGTCTAACTTGTTAACCTTGATGTCTGGCATTCTATTCATTAAGCATTATGAAAACCCACCAAGAATACCCCTAACAGCTGTAAAGGTTTTCTGTGTTAAATGGCTGGGTTCCACAACTAGGCTTTATGCTTGCAAGGCACTTGAGTATTTGCTGATGCAAAGGTGAGCAGCAGCCACAGTGCTTATTATCCCTCTTTAAGCTTACAGTCCTGAGTCTCCCCCCAGTCAGCAATCTGATAAATGTTCCCCCAATCATTTATCTGTTACCCCTACATGCAACGATATGTGTACATTTATACGACATTTCCCAAAGAAAGCAGAAAAAAGTTTCTTTACAAAATATTTTCTTACGTAAGCTTTGAGTGTACTGTTACATCAGACCCCGTGAACAGTACTATTAGGATGAGAGATATTTAAGCAACATCGAGACCAACCTATCAGGAAAAGCGTAATCGCACGAGTCTGTGACAAGAGGGATACAGCCAGGCCCAAGCGTGCTCAAATGACAGTTCAGTGCGGAGGAAGCCTGGGAAACCTCAATTCAGAATAAAGGTCTGGAAGTCACAGGCACAAGGCAAACATCTGAAGCCAGAAGTGTGGAGAGGGAGAAATAACTCCAGAAGGAAAACTCTAGAGGAAGTCTCTGAAACCAGCAGCTGACAATAGCTCAAGAAAGCTATGCCCTATTTTTTAAGTACATGAAACCACGTAATGCCCACAACTTATGAACAGATCGAGGCCAATGTACTGAGACCACTTACCTGAGGATCGTCATCTTCCATATCGTTGAAGTCTGTCTGAGTCTTTAACAACAGCTGCATCACATCCGACGCGTCCTGCATGAACTAGAGGAAAATAGGAGGAAAAAGCAACACCAGTATTATCACAGTCGTTATCAGAAAGGTATCTGCTGCTACCAAAATTTTGTTCCTGAGTATTTGCAAATGGTTCTGGTCGAGTTTTGAGGCTCAGAACATGAGGGGGGTCTAGGAGGGAGCAACTCCCTTTGGATCAGCGGTGCTCGCAGACCAAGCACAGGATACCCTTCTCAGGACACTTAATCCCTTTTCCATCAACAGGAAAGCAAGTGGAATGTTTCCAAATGGAACTAAATGTACAGATACTGAATTCTACATGTGTCATGGAAGAGAGATTGTATGTGGGGTAAAGAAAGGAGGCACCAAGACCATACTTGATTTAAAAACAAACCTTAACAGTGAAAAAATGAAGGCAACAATTGGTTTACATACAAAACAGAAGTAATGTGAAAGAAGGGACGGTCAGATGAAGGAAAAAAGCAGCTTTTCAGGAAGTCATGTGTCTGGGGCCTCAGTGCTCTCATGACCACAACATGCATTCAACGCAACAACGTTCTGCTCACTCACTTTCTCCTTGCCAACAGCCAGGCCAATGAGGCTGATACACTCGATTGTCTTTCCTCTCAGAAGTCGGAGCTCCTTTTGAACTGCATTTTCAACAATGTGCTTCAGTGATGGCATAAACAAATCATAGTAGGGAACAAATTTTTCTTCTGCAGTATCTGCAACTGATGCAATGGATGTTACAACTTGCTCCAAAACTAACTTGGTGCCTTTCTGAATCAACTAGGAAGAAGAAACACAAAATAAATTACTTAAGATGATAAGCCAGAAGAAACATTTCTATAAAAATAATCCATGTTCAACGATTTATGTGGAATTGGCTTTCTTCCCTTGAACACAGCCCTCCCTACTCACTGCTGCTCTATCAATGCACAGCCAGCTGTGAACCACAGCCCTGGACTCCTCCTATCACTGATTAGTCTTCTCAACGGAGCTCTTGGTCGTGCATCACACACCCTAACACTTGGCCAGCCCACTCCTCTCCTGGGATGGCCGATGTTCCCATCCTTGCTGCTGATCTCACAGCAGTGTCCTTCCTCCTCCACAAGGTCACCCTTCTTGGTGCAAACCCTGTTCACAAACATAACCTTCCTCCAAACCATCTCAGCAACTCCTTCCTGAATCTTGACACCCAATCAGAGCCCAGGGTGTGCTGGATCCATCTATTCCCAATGTAATTGCATGAACATGGGTCACCTGTCTTCAGACACAGGTATTTTCCTTAATCTGATTCTCAGTTTGCTGAAATCTGAGATTGAACCCTGTGGGTCCCTGTTTGGAACTCCTTTTTCCTTGGCTTTTCAGACATTTCATTTCTTGCTCTCCTCTACTCTGACCAGTCACTATGTCTGTAAACTGTTATAGTCCACAATGAGTCAAACAGAAGAATCATAACAAAATGACAGCAGGTGTGTCTGCTGAATCCAATAGTGCCAAAAGAGGCCCTTTCTGCACACGTTCCTTAATACTCACTTCACTGTGATGACTGCAATCTCATCTCATTATCTGACATCAAGCTGGGCCCCAACCCTTGCATTCTCACCCTCATTTCTCCCAAACGGTGGCACTCACATCCTTCAATTGTTTCCAGGCTGCATCCAATACACAAACTGTAACTATAAACCATCCTCTACCTGGCTACTTAGTCCTTGTTTTAAAATTCAACATCCAGGGCCCAATATGGCAGTCTAGTGGCTAAAGTCCTCGCCTTACACGCTGAGATCCCATGTGGGCGCCCGTTCATATCCCAGCTGTTCTACTTCCCTTCCAACTCCCTGCTTGGGGCCTATTAAAGCAGCTGAGGATGGGCCAACGCCTTGGGACCTTGCACCCGTGTGAGAGACCCTGAAGAAGCTCCTGGCTTTGGATCAGCCCAGCTCTGGACGTTGCAACAACTTGGGGAGTGAATCAATGGATGGAAGATTTTTGTAAAATCTGACTTTCTAACAAAAATAAAAATAAAATCTTAAGAAAATAGAACAAAAGAAAAAACACGGAAAACAAAACCAGATACTGTTCCTTCTATCCTATTTCTGTCACTTGGTTTAGATGATCACTTCTTTTCATTGTGTAAAACTCAAATTGGCAGAGAGAAATTGTTAATGATTACTGTGAAATGTCTTACAATTTCATCTTTTCCCCACATTCCCATTATCATTATCTAAGCTACTTGGACAGCAATCCATAAATGTGCTTCCTCTTCTGTTTACCTGTTACAACGCTGCCACACATATCACCTTAACCATTTTATCATTTCCAATGGTATACGCGAGCACAGGACAGTTCTACATTTACACAAGCCAGAATTGAGAAACTTCTCTGCCATGTTTTCAAGGCAATTCATTCAGTGATCTTATTTAACCCGTAGCTGCTCCAGCTGTGGGGCTAACCTGAGTCACTCTGCTAAAAGCATCCTGCAATGTCCCTCTTGAATTTTCTACTCTTTATGACCTTGCTCACTGCCTTTTCTTCCAGTTCTCACCTATCAAATCAGCGCAAATTAACCTCTAAATATGGAGAGAAAAGATCTTATGGCTCACCTCTTGAAGCTTAAGGACCATAATAGAATGCAGGTGCTTCACCAAGTTGTCTAGGTACGGAATAAGCAGCGACTTGGGACAGTCTTCAGTGAAGTTGATGAGGGCCGCGGCGGCGTGGGCCTGAACCCGCTGGTTGCCTTGGTCTTCCATCGTCTGCAGCAGGGCTGCAATCACCTGGCAAGTGACACCAAATACGTGAGGATCTTGCAGCTCAAACATTCCTCCCCAGCATGAAGATATGACAGCCCAGGGATTTGCCACTTACCTTCTCATGAAATTTCTTTTGGAAACAAGGGGCAAAATCGGTGGCCATCTGTCCCACAGCATTACAGGCTGCATACCTTACTCTGGGATGCTGGAATAGAGTTCCTTTTATTAGTTCAGGGCATGGGTGACCAAGTGAAACTAGGGCAGTAACTGTAAATCAAGCATCTACTGATACTTACAGGATCCTGAAGGAAAAGCAGAACAAAATTTACAATTTCGTTTAGAATTCCTTCCATCTGCTGGTGACAGCCTTCACCGATGGCAGACAAAGCCATGAGTCCTGCATGCCGGTACTTCCAGTCAGCTACAACAAAGATCGACACATGAAGGACAGCTGAGAGACATGCCATTCCGGTAGCGACACGTGTCAAAGAGCTTTTACTTTTAAAAATATCAGAAAATAATTCCAACAGATGAATATCTTTAAAAATCTTTTTCAAATAAATAGTAAAAGAAAACAAAAAAACAAACTTGGTTTCTTAGACTGAAAAAGCAGTCAGCTGTATAGAAACAAGACTATTTTAGGCATAAAAGTTGCAACAGAGTAAATCTGTATCCTTCACCGCCATATAAGAGCTCCAAACACAGTGAATACACTTCTGGGTCGGAACTCCCATGCTGGGGGTAGGGCACACATCATTTTTCTACTTTAAAACTGAGGAGACAGAGGTGCAGCACTTACGCTAAGCCATCTGCTCAGCAACAAGCGTCCTCACACTCACGAACAGCTCTGCAGTGAGCTGGACCAGCTGAAGTCTCCAAGTACAAATCACAGCCACTTCCAGCAGCTCTGCAGAGTGACATGCACTGCTGCGGAGACTAACTGCTAACTGAGCTGCTCTAATCGCCCAGCGGCTCTGGGCCTCACTAGCATCACCTTAAAAACGGAACGTCAAAACAAGGTTTTCCAGGTCTTAAAGGCCTTGGAATCTGCCTTTATTCAGATGCCTGAAAAGTTCAGGCCATTCAAGACCCAGACATGAAAAAGCAAGGATTCTCACAGTGAAATGAGACCCTGCTGAGTAAAAGCTTACACAGTGTCTCTATCATGCATGTAAGAGGTTGGAGAAAAATCTCAGCAACAGGTTCACAGTGACTCCCTATCAGAACAAATAAAGGGACTGATACACTTGTATATTTTAAGAATGATCAACACATTAATTTTATAATTAAAATAAAAATGTGTAGTAATCTTTGCTACTGATCCAGACAACAGGGTCAAAGGTTTATGATTATTGTCAAATATTTACTAGGAAATTATTAGTAAAGAAACAAAGTGGCTCCTCACTAAAGATTGATTCAAGGAAGAGTATATGAGTCAAGTATACTTCGGCAGTAATCAAAAACATTCTTTCTAGCCTAAGACTAAAAGGCCCCAAAGATGATTAAATGGCATTTTATCAAGACAACCTAAGAATTTGGTTAAATATTGATTGAAAAAGGCAAAGACATTTTTCAAGCAGTCTAAGTACGTTAGAGTTCCATGATCTGAAGGACATGTTGCTTACGATTTTGCAGCATTTGCATAATGTGTTCCTTAATCATTGGCAGAACGAGCTTCCCACCAAGTCCACATGCCATTCGGTCTAAAGCACTCTCACCAGCAACTGCGTTGCTAAGCACAGAACAAAGGAACATATTTAATATATTAAAATTTGCCAAAAATTACACTGCACAGTTTTAAAAAAATATTAAATTAGCATTAAGGAAAAAGCTTAGTCTTTAAAACAAATATTTGTTCATTTTTTTTACCAGTAGAATCACAGACAAGAGATGTGGAGAGATCTTTCTTCCACTACTTTATTCCCCCAAATGCTTACAACAGCTACAGCTAGGCCAGTTTGAAACTAGGAGCCAGGAACCTCACCAGGGTCTCAGGTCCAAGGACTTGAGCCATGACCTGCTGCCTCCTAGGATACTCGCAGGAAGCCGGACTGGAGGTACCAGAGACGCCACCCATGCACTCTCTCTTGGTCTTTCTCCCTGTAAATCCAATCTGCTTTTCCAATAAAACTAAAAATATGTATTTATTTTGACTCGGCAATAGAAGATTACATTTGCCATGGACACAATTTATAACTCCTTGGGACACAACTACAAAAGTGAAGAATAATCCTGCAGCACGTTGTTGGCCCTGAAAACCTGATTTTGCATTGTCTGTACCAGCAATGTCGGGGTACACTTAAATAACAGACTCATGGAGTTATGATTCCTTATGAAGGACTATATCACTGTAGTAAAATGGGGAAACTGTCGGGGGGTGGGAGTTTGGGGGGAGCCCCAGTCTACACAGAAAAAGAAAAAAGAGAACCTGATCTTGAAGGACAGATGTACAGAAAGACACAGGGAAAGCTCTTCCATCTGCTGGTTGACCTCACAAATGGCCACAATGACTAGTGCTGAGCCAATCCAAAGCCAGGAGTTGCTTTAAGGTCTCCTACGCAGGTGCAGGATTCCTAGGTTTTGGCCATCCTCAGCTGCTTTCCTGGGTTACAAACAGGGAGCTGGATGGAAGTAGAGAAACTGCACACAAACTGTGGCCCATATAGGATGCCAGATCTTGCAGGTGAAGGATTAGTCAATTAAGCCATCATGCCCGCCCTGAAGGATCACTTTCATATATATATTCTGACAGTCAGGGGCTGGTGGATGCCCTGACGTAATCGGTTAAAAACCTCTGCCACAGAAAGACACTGATGCCATAACATAGCAGGTTAGCTGCTGTGACATTAGCATCTCATATTGGGTTCCAATATCAGATGCTTTGTCCCCAATCCAACATCCTAGTAAGGTGCTTGGGAAGGCAATGGGATGATGGCCTGGGCTCCTACTATGCATGTGGGAGACCTGATTGAATCCTAGGCTCACAGTTTCAATTAGCCCAGCCCTGGCTGCTGTGCTCATTTGGGGACTGAACCACCAGGATGGAAAAACTCTCTCGTTCTCCCTTTCACTCTGTCTTCCATGAAAATAAATACACATATGCATTTTTAAACTCACAAAAAGCAAAATGTTCCACGTTTCAAATGGAAGCTCAGCTCTCAGGGAACCATGGTGGAGCACCGGCCTCACAGCCCTGAAGCACCCTCCGCCTCCTTAGGCACACCCTATCCATCAAACACACATAGCCACACAGCAGCAGACATGGGGTTACCTGTCAAAATCGTCATCTTCTAGTTCATCAGCATTTGCCCAGTCCTCATCTTCTTCCAGGTCAACCATCATTGCTAACATCTGGGGAACTAAAATAAGTAATTATTTCACACCTGAGGACCACTCACAAACAAGAATTTTACAGTATGCTACATCTTGCCTCCAAAAGAGACAAAACCATTAGTCAGCTGTCTGTATGTGCAGCCCACATTTCAAATGCATGATGGGAAACAAGCTATGTACTCAGTAGGTGCAGACCGTCCCCCTTTCCCTTAGTCCCCCAATCAGCAGTGTAATACTACACACAGAACACTGACGCTGCAATCCAGACACAACTGAAGTGGGCTACACACACAGGTTACATGCAGTGCTCTGTATGTCATTTCATGTCAAAGCCTTGAGCATCTGAGGTTTATTTTCCTGGTGGGGGGTTTCCTAGAACCAATCCTTAAGGGTTCCCTGGGAAGACTACATTTGCCCATGCACCTAAAACACGGTTTGTCATATTTTAACCTTGTGCTATAATTGCTTTAGTATCGCTTAAAACAAACATTAAAGAGCTGAACTCTTCCCAAATTAGCTGAACTAATCCCAAATCCCACTACTCTCTTTCCCTTCCTCAGACAGTCAGCACCACAGATTAGTGGTCATCGTTCCAAAAACACTTCCAACCCTTCAACTATAGATTTCTGCATTCACAACCATATGTCTGTACCTTTGGCAATTTGTTTTTTTAACACATACAGATTCCAATAATTACTTCCTATCATTCCAAAATATAGACATATCTGCTGCTGTCCTAAGGAACCCTTTGGTCCTGCAACAGTGACGCCAAATTTATCCCTCCTGTATTTGGTCTGATGAAACAATTACACATCTTGACAAGCCTGAGTCTGGACATGAAATCATGACAAGTATGTTCAATATTATATAAAAATCCCCAAACTGCTCCCTACCATTCTTGAGTAATCTACTCTTAGAAGAAGTGCCTTTGTTCCCAGCACTGTGTGAAGGGACCTGCAGCTAGAATCAGATTTCTTGGACACCAGCACCTACCACCAACACCTTCTACAGCCGAAGTTGCTGACAACTTGTACCCACAATCACACTTGCTAGTTATTTTACATCTGTTAATTTCTTTTTCAAAGCCTCTATTTCCTAGGTACCAAAATTTTGTTTATAGTATGTCCTTTAATTACTTTATCTCAGCTTGTGGTTTATCTTTTAATTTCACTTATGATATTTTTGGCTGGCAATTTTTAGTTTTTGCAAATTTAGCAATATCCAAATGGTTTGTGAGTCAGTCTTTAAAACAACTGTATACTATTAAGCTTTACTTGTGAAATACATTCATAACAGAGTACTGTTTTTTTTTAAAAATAGGACATCTGAGACTGGAACATGCTTTTTTTTTTGCATAGAAATAACTGAATGTTTCAGTAACATTTCACAAATTATCCTCACAGCTTATAGGGCAATAGTTCTACTCTGTGCACCAAAGTTGCTTTAGTTACTCTAGGCCAGGCCCATGTTCTATCAAGAACTTCACAGTCAGCTCTGTCATGAGGCTCTGGAGTTCTGACTGAAATGGCTCTGACTTTAAGCATCTGAGGGAAACTTGGTTCTTCCATTAGTTAATCAGTACTGCTTAACTGCTTCCATAAAGCTCCTCCACACTGCTTGGTTTACCCCTAGACATCACAGGCCATGCCTAGCACAGGTTTTTTTTTCCCCCTGGTAAAATTCTATTATGATTTCAAAGCTAACAAACTTGCTAAACCCTTTGACCCTAAAAATTTATCTGTGGATTATTTTCTTTTTAACAGAAAACGACAGAGCCTACAAATAAGGAGTAATTTTTGCTTGAATCTCTTCATTCACATTTTATCTCAGTGTATTGTGTGGGACTATCAGTACGATATTAGCAGGAATATTTTTCTTGCCCCCTGAGTTTTAACAGGAAAGTTTCTAAAATGCTAGCCACATCTCAGTGTAAGTTGTAGGTGCCACTACATACTACACAGTACATATTTTGTTCAAATGTGCACTAATACATAAAGAAATGGCCAGGACACAACACGGGCACACCACTTTCTCTGCGATAAACCCCCGCAGCAAGCCTTACAGTATTTCTCTAGCACACTAAACACCGAGCTCCTGCAGAGAGCAAGACAAAGCAGCAGAGCACAGCGAGGTGAGCCCAGGCACGCAGAGCTGTGTTCTGAACCATCCTGACCACTACGTGCCAGTCACGTTATCCCAGTCTTCAGTTTGTTCCTGGATGTCTATAAAGTACCTGAGAATTACTTCGCTCAGTATTTGACCTGAATAATAGAACACAATTTTAATCCACAGAACACTTTAAACACCAGGCTTCTGAGGCTTTGAAAGCATAAAGTGTTGGACGTCTACCCGTGCATGGAGATTGATTGCTCTGCTTCTGAGGATACTCCTATTCTTAACCAATCCGGGAAATGACACAATCCTCGGAGTTTACTCCAGTGGTACTACATTCCCATAGCAGCACGACCCCGACTTACTAGTTTGCGCAACAATATTAGTGTGCTTCCTTAACATGGCAGCTGCAGTCTCGGACAGGGTCACGATGACTTCAAGAGCGAGCTGGCGTTGCATGTTATTGAGGCTGGTGTCTCCACACAACTGCAAGACAGACAGATTTGTCTGCATTTAATAGTGTGAATTCTCTGCAAGCCACAGACAGAGCTGCACAGCGCACTTCCCGCACCTTCAGACTCAGCTGCAGAGTGGCTTCCAGGTGAGGACGCAGGTACTTCGGAACGGTGTCTGCAATCTCCACAAGGGACTTGAGGACTGAATCGTCATTCTGGTAGCACGAGTCATTTACAGCCTAGCAGAAAAAACACAAGTGTGTGAGACCCACACTAGGACAGTAAAAACACTCTTTGGAGGCAGACTCAACAGTCTTACTATTTTTTTTTTCTTACTCAGCAATCTACATTATGCAAACGTTCTACCTACAGCCTTATGTACTGTCTTTTGATGAATGTTAATTAGAAACAAAAAACAGGGGCCTGGCGCAGTGGCCTAGCAGCTAAAGTCCTCGCCTTGAACACGCCGGGATCCCATATGCCTGCCAGTTCTAATCCCGGCAGGCCGACTTCCCATCCAGCTCCCTGCTTGTGGCCTGGGAAAGCAGTCAAGGATGGCCCAAAACCTTGGGACCCTGCACCCATGTGGGAGACCTGGAGGAAGTTCCTTGATCCTGGCTTCGGATCGGCATAGCACTGGCCATTGCACTCACTTGGGAAATGAATCATCGGACGGAGGATCTTTCTGTCTCTCCTCCTCTCTGTATATCTGACTTTCCAATAAATAAATAAATCTTAAAAAAAAAAAACAAACAAAAAAACAAAAAAAACCCCACCAGAATTCCAAGTCAAAATTGATACCCACAACAAAAGTTAAGGCTGTCAAGGAATTTTTTGCTGTAACCACAAAGAATCCCTTATCTTTCTCTATGTTGTAGGTTTTTCTTTTCCACACACAGCAATATTACTCACTTTTTTCCCTTTTCAAAAATGGACTTATTTTATTTGAAAGAAAGACCAGAGATACAGATCTTGGTGGCCTGATCCACCATCTGCTGCACTTCTTTTTAAAGATTATTTTTTATTTGAAGCAGAGAGCTGGAGAACAGGATGAGATCTTTCATCCACTGTCTCACTCCCCAAATGACTACAATGGCCAGAGTCGAGTCAGTCCAAAGTCAGGAGTTTTTTCAGGGTCTCCCACGTGGGTGCAGAGTACCAAGAACTTGGGCTATCCTCCGCTGCCATCCATGGACATCAGCAGGGAGCTGGAGCGGAAGCGGAGCCACAGGCAGCGGCTTAGCCTGCCACGGTGCCTCCCCCTGCCTCTCTCTCCAGCTGGTTGCTCTGCCAGGCCCAGGCCAGGTGGAAGCATTTTTAAACTACCAATGTTTACTCCAGAACAACACATGCGAGGGAGTCTTGAACATTTTAATTCACTCTAAAAATCTAGAGGAAGAGGGCCCGGGGCGATGGCGCAGTGGTTAATGTCCTTGCCTTGCATGCCCGGGATCCCATATGGGCGCTGGTTCTAATCCTGGCAGCCCTGCTTCCTATCCAGTTCCCTGCCTGTGGCCTGGGAAAGCAGTCGAGGACGGCCCAAAGCTTTGGGACCCTGCCCCTATGTGGGAGACCCAGAGGAGGATCCTGGCTCCGGATTGGCTCAGCTCTAGCCCTTGCGGCCGCCTGGGGAGTGAATCATCGGATGGAAGATCTTCCTGTCTCTCCTCTCTGTATATCCGCCTTTCCTTGAGAGCTTGTTTGGAGGTTCTAGCAGGGGAGCGCAGCTACTCATATACCCTTGACCGAAGACTGGTCCTCCTCTAGCGGGGATGGTCGGGAGGGACGCACATGGAGCGGTGAGGGAGGAAGGGGACACCCGCCTAGCCAGCCAGATCAGCCGAATCAACCCTGGCGATCAATGGGGTGACAGATGTCGCAGCCAGATCGCCCTCACATCCCCGCCTTTCCAATTAAAAAAAAAATAAAATAAATCTTTAAAAAAAATCTAGAGAAAGAAAAAAATATGTAGGGTTAGATTTGAACAATAATTTGAGATTTTTGGTAACAGCTAAAATGACAGCATGTCACAGTTACCTAAACTATCTTTTCAGAATGACAGCAGGAGAGAGGATTCACCAAATCCTGACAAACTTTTTATCACACAAAGAAACCAATTTCAGCTCCTCAAATCTCTTTTGGCTGTCACGTGGCTGAGTGGGCAGAGGCCAATGGGTCCAGATGTCCTGCGTCCGACACAGGCATTTTCCCAGGAACTCACACAATCTTATCAGCATGTGCTTTGTATAACCAATGTCAGTAAACATGGAAAAACTTATGAATAATTTAAACTTAAGCCACAGATTATTTATTGTCTGGTTTTAATGTACAGTTGGCCTTCCTTATTATCTGTAAAATAATGGGGAGGTGAAAATATATGAATAAAAATGCTGCATTAAATATAGACCATTGTTTTTTTTCTTGTCAGTATTCCCTAAAAAATACAGTTTAGCAATCACTTATATAGCATTTACAATGTACTAGGTATGAGAAGTAACCTAAAGAATACTGAATGCACACAGGATGATACAACAAAAGTTAAATGTAAACACTACACATTTTAGTATAAAAGATTTGAGCACTCTCACATTTTGGTACCCATGGGGATTCCAGAACCAAACTCCATTGAATGCTGGGAGACAACTGTGCCGCGATGCCCCGGCCTCCTATTCGTACAGGAGTAACGTATAGGAAATGTTACTTGTATATGAATCTGCTTCGTTCAGGAAACCTCATCACCAAGAGTAGCTGTGCTGCTGACTAATGCCCTTGTCCGTCCAGTTTTAGCTGCTGCACTGGATCACTCAGCAGTCATCTACTCCACTACGCCTTATACTATAGGAATGGCTCAGCTTTCACCCGTGCAAAAAGCAGCCCTTTTCAATATGACATTCTTCTCAATTCTTCATATTTACTTATCTCCAGGTACCCGAGTTAGGTCACTTTACATTTCATTTTAGGATGGCATGTGGAAGTTACAAGTGTCTGTCACAGAGGAAATTGCATCTCACAAGGCTGACAATCACCACTCTAAGCTGCCCAACTCTGCACTGCTTTAAGGGTAAGCCAGCAGGCATCTTCCAAACACTGATTTATCTTGGGAAACTATTAGTACCAGCCAATTAACCATAAACCATTCACTCCGTAATACAAGCTAGAAGCCAGGACCTGATGGCAAGACCTCCGCAGCCTGACGTGAGCTCCAGCTGGGATTCCACCACTTCCTGAAGCTGGGATCCTGGATAGGCTCTCAATCCTTTGTCAGTTTCCCCTTATGTAGAATGGGTATTAAACCTCATGATAATCCTGTTTATTTCATGAAAATAAACCATGATTCATTCAATGATAAGCATGACTATTTATTCCATTTGTATGAAAGGGAAATTTTCTAACTAAATATTTCAAGAGATTAGCAAAGTTTTTTTGAAGTAACACGTGTGTGCTCAGGAGACAAGAGCTGTGCATACCTTGTTCACTGCCAGGTCCTGAGTCCCACCACATGACAGACAACACCTACTAACCAAATGTACTACAGAATTTGCATGAGAATTTATACCAATTAGGATGAAAAGTAGGATTTGGTCTATACTGTTTCCTCACCTGTAAGAATCCGGGTAACAAGTCTGCAAAATGTTTGAAAAGAGTAACATTATGCTCATTTGCAAGTATAAACGCAGCAGTAGCTCTAGCAGATAACGTCCTGATCTAAAATGCAGAGTAAAAAATGGAAAATATGAGACATTTTTGATGGAGACAAGTTAAATTTTCTTAACATTATATTTTTAAAATCAGTAAAGGTAGCACGTGTATTATAAAGTTCAAAAGTAAAGCCAATCAATACACTCACAGGTTTCACAAGTCAGATTAAATCATGTACTATTAATTAATGGGGCTCAAATTACTTACTGATGGATGCTCCTGATCTTGCATACACTGAACTAACATTCGCTTGATGACGTCTAAATAGTGCTGCTGTTGGTTCCCAAAAATTCCAGGAAAGTTCCTGAAAATGATGCAAAGCACAATTTATCTTAGCAAAATGAGAGCTAGATCCACACTGCCAACAGACATTCCTGGCTCAAGCGTTCCTGGGATGACCATCACTGCCCTGTGCTCTGGCTCCGAACCAGGCTGTGTCTGAGCTGGCTGAGGGAACAAGCACACTGGAGAAGGCGGCCAGGACCGAGGCCCTTGGCAGCCCATTCTCGGCCCCCTCTCTACTCTGACCACCAGTTCTGCTGGGCACCGACCTGGAGTACAGGACAGGACAAGAATGACCGTGATTTTTGATCTGTTCCTAGTCCTGGTGACCCAGGGAATCGAAGTTCTGCTCTAGTTCAGAGTAAGTGTGCACTGGATAAATTCTCTATCGTGGTTGGCTGATACAAACAAGATATACACCTGACAACTAAAGCAGAGACTCAAGTAATATCTAAAACGGATATGATCTTGAAAAGTTACAAATCCAACATCAACCATATTATAAATTTAACGGAAAATTTTAATATAGCAGGAGGTAAAAACAGTCATCTAATGCTAAACCTAGCCAGTTTGTTTATAAATATGTAGGAATTTGTTAAAATATTACAAAGCTTGGGGTTGGCACTGCAGAGTAGCAGATAAGGCAGCTGTTTCCAATATCGGCATCTTATTCAAGGGCTGGCTCCTGTTCTGGCTTTCTGCACTTCCAATCCAGCCCCTGCTAACGCCTCAAAACGCACAGAAGGCAGCCAAAGACGGCCCCTGTCATCCACATCCAAAGCTCCTGGCTCCAGCCTGGTCTAGCCCTGGCTATCTGGCTACTGTGGCTATCTGGGGCAGGGGAAGTGTGACACCAAACAAAAGACTTCTTTCTCTTTGTGACTTTCTGTGTGACTCTTCAAATAAATAAATCTTACAACAAAACATTTATTTGCAAGCCAGAAAAGAGAAAGAAGAAAAAGATCACCCATCATTTGTTTCACTTCCCAGATGGCCACAACTGCCAGGGCTGTGGCAGGATGAAGCCCAGGTCTTCCATGGGTGCCAAGGGTCCTAATGCTCGGTTCCTCTTGCACTCTTTTCCCCAGGGCACTAGCAGGGACCTGGACTGGAAGCAGAGCACCAGGCATATACAACTGCATCCATATGGGATACTAGAGTTGCAGGCAGTGGCTTACCCCACTGCATCAACACAGGCCCCTAAAGTGGTTTTCTAAAAGCTATTATTGGTAGCGTGTTAATCTCCAAACACAAGGTAAGAAAGAATTTTTAAAATTTTCAGATCTAAAGTAACAAAAAGAACTTTCACAGTAAGAAATTGGATCACAGTAAGAAATTGCTTTCAGAATTTTTTTCAACACAAATATAAACCTTACTTCAAGAAATCTTTCTAAATAATGTTTAGTACTAATTTAAAAACTTGTTTTTACTTGAAAGAGTGAGTTCCTGTCTGTTGGTTCCCTCCCAGACCAAGCTGTGGTCTCCCATTTGAGCAGCGGAGAGTCATGTGCCACCTCCCAGCGCTCTCCATCAACAACAAACAGGAAGAGGTAGTGCACAGAGACCTGATCCCCAGGATGAGATGTGGACGCAAGCATCTCAGGTCTTGACCCCTAAAGGCAAGATTCTGTAGTCTAAGAAGTTAAATTATGCTAAAGCAATTCACCGAAACGCCATTTCAACATAACGTAACGCAGAGCCTCAGTTCACTGCATTTACCAGAAAATGTGCAAGGCAGCCTCACGCAGACCCATATTCTGAGAGCTGACTGACTCGAAAAGAAACTTCAGCCCTTCAGGCCACTGGTTGTTGCCGTCCTCATCTAAAAAGTAAAGAAACCTGGGCATAAGTTACAGGGGGCAACTTTCACAAGGGCAAAGACAACTTCTTTCAAAACATGCAGTAATGGAACATGTCACTTGCCTCTGTTCCAAAACATTAGGGAAAAATGAAGTTTCCGAACTACAATTCAGTCCCAACCTAGCTAACAAAACTGTACATCTGTGTCACAGGAGCACAGACACAAGTGAGCTCATCTGGAGAGCGAGCATTCTCAACTCCACAGAAACGCGCCTGATGCTTCCTTGATACACACTATCATATTCAAGTTTTATCAACCAGGTTAAGGTGCCACTGAAAGCCAAGATGATGGTTAGTTTCTAACTGGAGCAGACACTGGGGCAGGAAACCCAGGACCCAAAGAGGCTGCTTACACTTTCCACTCTCTTAAAAAAGGCCAGAAAGTTTTTAACAAAGCTACAAAATCCACCGTACTGTTTATCAGACCCACTGGTTAGTCACAAATCATTGTAGCAATTAAGAGATAAGCTATAATGTTTTTTTTATTAAAATGTTCCCTGTAGTCACTGAACCTTCCAAGAAAGGATACTTATGCTGCTTAGCTGACATTTAAAGAATTAAACATCTTTTACTCTGTCTCTTCAACATACAGTTAATGCCTTGAGGGGGGCTAAAAGAATGCTTAAAAATAATCTACCAAAGCGGGTGGAGAAATAAAAGCACTTTGAATTACTTTTGGGAACATTTCCATTAAGCGAGTTTTTAAAAAAATACACTTATTTGATAATGAGAGTGCCCATCTGCTGGTCCACTCTAAACACCTGTAACAGTTGGGCCCGGGCTAGACTGAAGTGGGAAACCAGCGCAGACCTCCCTCCCGGGGATCACTTGGACCAACGCCTCTAGCCCTGGGGTGCATTAGCAGGAAGGATCAGCAGAGCAAGGCCAGAAGCCAGGCACTGCAATATGGGATGTGGGTCCTGCCCTGTGACTTTGAATGAGAAATAATGTCACCTATAAAAACTCCTACCTGCCTCTTAAAATCTGAGGAACATCCCGACTTACCCCTTGTATTGGTGAGGCATCCTTTTTAACTACTAATAATGTTCCCTAAATGAACTGGGTTTACAATTAAACATATGGTCTTGTCAAAGCAATGTGTAAAGAACATTTGATTATATTATTAATGTTTTCAGTTGACTAGAAGGATTATGATGTGTTTTTAAAATGTTTTCCTTTTATGCCATTATTTAAAGATAAATTTGTATATCTTATACATGGTGACATAACATAGTCACATATAATTTGTCATATACACATATAATATCAAAAGCACTTGATGTGCAAAGATTTCTTTGCAAGCTGAAGTTACAAGGCAGGTGGTATCATTAAGTAATCCATGCTTGTAAAGCTACAGATTAAGGAGGAAACTTAACGGTAACTTTCAAGCAAATTATTTTTCCATATGCATGTTTGGAATATCGATTAAGTATTATAACATTTCACAAACATCTGTAATTTTTGGCACCAAAAACACAACTCAAAAACACTCCAACAACGCGAACGGTGCTTGAGCGTCCATGAGCATCTTCCACAGGGACACAGGAGTACCTATCAGGTTCCTGGCCAGCTCGGCGGCGATGTCACAGATCTTCTTCCTCATGCTGGACTGCGTCTCCATCTGTATAATCACCAGGAGTTCACTCTTGATGGCGGCCTGGACCTCGGAAGGCAGAGCTGGGTAGACTTCGTCGAAGGCAGAGGACAGAAGGCGCCTGAGGAGGACTGCAGCCATCTGTCTAGCCTAGAAACAGGCAACAGTGGCAACCACTTCAGCTCTGGCGGGAGCAAACCAGGTTCACCGTGCCACTGAGGCACTTCACTGCTGCTCTTTATAACTCATCTTCACAAGCACTATTTCTACACAACAATGTTAACTCTATACAACTCTACTAGTCTGTTGTACAGCCAAGCGCCATCCAAGGAGCATCTGAGGGAAACTTGCAAAGTTTCCATTCTAGAAAAGACACATCTTTACCACCTCACCTCAGGCTCAGAGCCTGGTCTGTCCTGTTATAGAACTGCCCTTTCATGACCATCTTAGACAAAAGGCTATGACATCCATCCATCTTCGCCCTTTCATGCAAACATTACAAGTTCCCCATCCAAAACAGTGTCCACCAATCTGAATACTGTCAGAAATTGGCTTGACACTCTAAAATCTCTTGAGATTATCAAAAGAGAAGCTGAGACAAGTACAATTCTAGAAACGTTTCCTGTCAGGCCTAGCCTCTGAGTGAATCCTATTTCTCCCGTGCCAGTTTGCCAGCTGCTGCCACTCAGCATTACCATGCTCTGGGACTGTGACTACTAAGTGAAGCTTTACAAACAAAATCTGCTATCTTAGTTCTCCATTACTTTTCACCGAGAAACTTTTGAGGCAGGTAGCCAAAAGTTTTTGAAGTCTAATATATGATCCATATAAAGAATTCAAACTGGTTAAAATTATTATAAAACTGCTTAATGATCACATGCAATTCTCACACATACTAAAACCCATTAAGCCACACTGACTTAAGTTTCATATAGGCTAATCTTCAAAACAGGCTCAATATTTATTTAGTACCAAATTTAACTTTTAAGTATTAAACTAGCCATCTACCTTTAGTTACTGAAGTTACCTAGTACATCTCTTCTTCATCTAGTTCTCTTATAAAGTATACATGGAGCCAGCATAATGGGGAAAGTGGCTGCCCGTATTGCCAGCATCCCGTCTGGGCACAGGTTCAAATTCCCACTGCTTCACTTCTGATCCAGCTGTCTGCAAATGTGCCCAAGGAAGCAGTAGAGGATGGGCCAAGTTTTTGAGCCCCTGTACCTATGTGGAAGACCTGGAAGTAACTTCTGCCTCTTGGCTTCAGCCTGGCTCAACCCAAGCTGCTGCGGCCATTCGGGAAGTGAACCAGCAACGGAAGATCTTTGTCTCTCCTCCGTAAATCTGCTTTCCCAATAGAAAGAATTATAAATCTTTAAGGGCACTTGTTCAAGGCCCAGCTCCACTTCCCACTTCCCAGTGCCTGGGAAAGCAGTAGAGGATGATGTCAGCTGGGGTCCCTGTACCCACATGGTGGGCCTAGAAGCTGCTCCTGACTAGCTCATCTCCCAACTGCTGTGGCCATCTGGAGAATGAGGTAGCTGACGGAAGATCTGTCTCTCCTCTCTCTGGAAATATTTCAAATAAAAATACAAACGCATCTTTAAGAAAAAAAAAAACTCAAAAAATAGACCTAATTTATCAAAAGGTAAGAAAAATCTTAAAAATTCAATAAAATATGATCGAAGCAATTCACTAAAATTCACTCAAAAGATTTACTTACTCATTTGAAAAAGTGACAGAGACATTTACCATCCAGTATTTACTCCCCAAATGGCTCCAATGGACAGGGGCTGGACAGATGGAAGGCGGAGCTTTAGCCAGGTCTCCCACATGGGTGGCAGGGGCCATCTTTCACTGCTTCCCCCAGCCATTGGCAGGAGTCAGGGATTCTACGGGATGCTATCAACAGAGGCAGCAGCTTTATCCACTAGCACCAGTCACTAAGACACATTCCTAAAGGATTCTAGAGAGTGTGTGTGTTCCTAAGCATACCTCCAGCACACGCTTCAATCAGAGATGGCTCCAAGCACCAACTTTTAAAACAAAAAGTATTTTTTCAAAACATCTGGTAGAACTCAGTGTGTCAATAAAAATAATTTCTAAAGCTAGGAATTACTTCAACTTATTTATAAAACTGCTCAGTTCATCTACTCTGGGTATGTCATCTTCCATGGAGAACATTCCCATTCTCCACACAGTAACTCCCACACAGCTTGCAGCAAAGCCAGGCAATGTCTGCAGTAAGCCACACTCTGTCTCCGTCCCAATCCTCGTCCACCGTCCCGCATCCAGGCAGTACCTCCTCAGCGGCAGCCGTATTTCTGATGGCTTGTAACAGGAACGTGATCTTTGACTGGCCTGGGATATTCTCGTAGGTTTCCTGCAGAATAAAGGAAACTGGAGGTTAGAGTTGGTCAGAAAACCTCAAAGAGTAAACTAGCAGAAGAGATGAAAAGCAGAAGGGACGGGTGCCTGAGAACATGAGTCCCTCAGCCTGGGCCTGGTGCAGCTTCTCCCACCACTGCTCCAGCAACATTCGCTATCCATTCCTGTGTGCCCATCCCTCCTGCATGGCCAGTCGGCACGTGCCTGCCTTCCCAAGGCAGACACCCTGGCCAACACAACTCAAGGGAAGAGGAACAAACCACCTAATGTGGTTTCAGCTGTTGAGCTAGGAAATATAAAATATGGGTGCATTTAGTAGCAAAAAAATGTTCAAATTCTTAAAGCTACATTTTTTTCAAGCATGGATTAAAATCGTAGCAAATACACAGATATATAAATACAAAAGGCAGAAATTTGGCAATATAAAGTCTACATATATTTAGCTAACAGTTTTTTGTGACAGGATATATTTTCACTTTCCCATTAATAATGTAAAATTAGGACAAATTAGCAACAAAAAGTTGACATCAAGAGATTATTAAAATGGGCCAAAAACCAAAACATTAACTGTATGCTGTCTGACACAGTTAAACTGAGGCAAAGCATAAATCCACGTGCCACTCCAACAACAGCAGTCCTTTGCTCCGAAAAAGGAATGAAGTAAAGTACACAGGAGTTGTCTTCCCTGCACAGCCTCTTATCAAGTCCTGGTCCACTCTGGGCTATCCACTGTAACAGTGCAATGCAGACAGCAATTTCTTAGCAGTTGTGTGATTACTGCCATTCTGCCATCTACCTGACTTCCCTGGACAAAAACGACAAGGGAGGAAGACTATGGCTACTTCAGGACTCTTTTTACGCCTAAGTGCTCGCTGCTATCCCGCAGACAAGGTAACAAGGCTTCCATGTTGAAAGACTTGCCAGTATCACAGGGAATAAGCAGCAGCAGGCAGCACCTGGAAGCCAATCACGCTCAAACCCCCTGCATGGCGAGCGCTGGGCTTTTACCCCACTTAGCAACTGTGCTTCTGAAACACAGCTCAGTCTGGAAAGAACAGGTATGGAGGAAAGGAGAAAACTGAAGATCTCAAATTCTCCATTTCCATTCTAGTAAAAATCCCACAGTATCCTAAGAGTGCTGAAAACTGCTAAGCAATGTTCACAACTGAGAGACGGTCTGAAATTACTCATCCAGAAATGAGACAATTTATGTAAAGATGTTCACGTGCCGATTCCAAAAACGGTCAGATACCTTGACAGAATTCTCAATTTCTACCAAAGTTAAATAAGAACAATATAACTATTATTTTTTAAAGTCTCTCACAGTGCAATACAAATCTTTTTCTTGGGGCCAGTACTGTGGCACAGCAAACTAGGCTGCAGACTGCAGTGCTGGCATCCCTTACTGGTGCCAAGTGGAGTCCTGAACACCCCACTTCCCATCCAGCTGCTAGTGCTCCTGGGAAAGCAGTCCAGGGCAGCCCAAAGCCTTGGGACCCTGCACCCGTGTGGGAGACCTGGAAGAAGCTCCTGGTTCCCGGCTTCAGATCGGCTCGGCCCAGGCCGTTGCGGTCACTTGGGGGGTGAATCGTCAGATCTTCCTGTCTCTCCTCCTCTCTGTATATCTGACTTTGTAATAAAAATAAATAAATCTTTAAAAAGGCTGCACAGAAAGAACACAGCACGCAATGAAGTACAGCCGAGACGTCCCAGCCCTCACAGTCCTGCGAGGCTCAGTGAGCACCAGTGTGAGGGGCCATGGCAATCCTGCTTGATCCCACCTCACGCTGTGGAAAGCTGCCGGAAAGACTGTCCCCTACTCTGCCCTCATTCCACACCTATCTACGCAGGTGAACCTAACTTGTGTGAAAAGAATAGGATAAGCAACTTGTCCCTCCTGAATATCCTGGCTCCTCAACAAGCAGGGGTAGTTTCCCTCACATCATTTTCTGCCAATTCAAAGAACAATGAGGCTCTACATCAGAATCAATGTTCGAGCACTAGAAGAAATACACAGTCCATGCAGGATTAATGCATGGGGTTAGTTCTCACGCGACTGTCCGGGACAGGGGCAGGGTTTGACAGGCCTAGGCTGGCCTGCCAGGCCCCGATTCCAGCTTCCCGCCTCTCAGACCTTGTAAGGCACAAGGCTCAGGTCAGGGCATCCCTGCCACCCCCCCTTGGCAGGGCCGGCCTGAGCTCCTGGCTTCCACCAGGACTGGGGGTGAACCAGTCCCGGGAGCTCTAGTTCTGCCTCTTGAATGAAACCAGTCCTGAACGCCAGTCCCGAACACCATGGACAGTCAACCTTGGACTGCATGTCAGTCCGTCAGTCATTCATTATATCATATTTTGAGTCACAGGAGTATTCAAAGATGAGAAACACTGCCTGCGAAGTTAAAAAAAAAAAAATTCCTTGGAGATGTTTAGTGGAATAAAGTTTGGTATTTATACGTCAACTATTTTTATTTTGACTGAGTAAATTACAAAAATATTTACAGAGTCCTTGCCAATTCTTTAGCTAAAAGAAAAATTCTCTTGGTATATCAATGACTCAATGTTATTTAGGTTACTGATATATACTTTATTTCATGTCGCAGAAAGGAATGGGATATTAAGTTGTGTTTATGTGCAGCCATTTCTTTTCTCAAATATTTTTCTGACCTAAGAATGTATTTATGCCAACTTAGTGCTACAATATATGGCAGAGGGGCCTTCCTTGTGTTTTCTGGTCAGATTAGGAAAATTCTCTGCCACATAACTTCTTTTACAAATCAATATATTCCCAAGTTAAAGAAAGAACATAGTAGATGACCGTTTGCGCTGAGAGGGACAGCACCTAGCTCAGCGGTTCTTTGTAAGGTACTGCACTGCATGCTGCCAGTTCCCCCAGAGCGGCGATTTACAGCAGGCACCAACCGGAACCGGGAACTGAGGCTGAACCAGACCCTGGCGTTAGGGTCAAGAGATTCCCCACTAGGCTTGACAATGGACTTGAGGGAAGGGGGGGAATTACACTAACTTTCTAATTACAATTCCTTTCTGCTTTGTACAGCATGGGAATTCTGTTACGGGCTGGGATTTAGAACTTATTTCTGGCCAAAATTCTCTCTACAGAGTTAACAGAAAGCCACAAAAGCAGCTTCATATCCTGGTGCTAACTCACTCCTGCCTATCACTTCCACAGACTTTTAAGTATTCTACAAAGAAACCCGGGAAGCACGCAGAAGCAGGTAGACTCATGTAGAGAACCAGGCTTCGGAGCGCACACTGCGAGGAGACCTGAGCACCCACTCACGGAGCTGCCACCATCCACCAGGCTCCAGCATCAAACAAGACTCTCACGTGGCCAGGTGAAACACACACCGAGCTGGAAACCAAAGCTGCATGACAAGGGGGGTGTTCCCCTCCAGGGACAAATGAAAGGTGCGGGGGCGGGGAGAGTGGACTGTCAATTTTTGGCTTTAACACACCTAAGAGAATGGAAACTTCCTAGGGTTAGCATCTGAAAGTTCTTCCTGCAGAACCCAGCCTTCACTCAGCCGAGTGGCGTGTGCCTTAGCTCCTCAGCCGTGCACCCACAACCAACCCCGGCTCTACCCAAACACTTCGCCGCACATCCTTCAGGGAGTCACAAGACTCTTCACGTGGTTGCCACAGGCTCCCTTCCCGGGCAGTGCCCACACAGCCCACGGTCACAACTGGCACTGACAAACGCACCGACAATCTCGTAGGGGGCTCAATCGCTAACTGCTACTTGGTAAAAGTGCCTGCAGGTTGCCCGGAAATAGTATTTCTGGAAATTAGATTCGCAGTCCACGTGCGGAAAGCCGGCATGCAGAGGTGGCTAAGAGACATGACCGCAGAGTCTGAGCCGGGTCAGAGTGAACGGTCTGGCTCAGTTACACAACGCAAGTTCCAGCACATCCCATGGATGTTAGGGGACACGCGGGTCTACCGAGTTCAAAGACCATCTGTCTCCGGGAGCCGCAGGATTAAGACGGAAACTGCTTAGAAAACAAAAAACCCTGAACAGCAACTTTGGGGGGCCGTGGGGGAAGAGGAGGGCCGGGGGCGCAGCGGGGGGCGGCAGCGGGGCAGCGCCGAGCCGGGCGGCCGGGCAGGGCCGGCGGGCGTGGGAGGCGAGCGGGGTGCCGCTCCGGGGGCCGGCGGGCTCCGGGGCGAACGGGGGACCGGGCCCTGCTCCCCGCCGCCCGGGCTGTGCGTGTGTGCGCGCCGGCGGGCGGCAGCGTGGCAGCAGCGGCCGCACGTGTGCGAGGGGCGGCCGGGCAGAGGGAAACGGGCGCCGCGGCTCCGGGAGCCGGAAGGGCCCGGCCAGCCGCCGTCCCACGTGGGCTGCGGGGCCGCCGGGGCCGGGCCTGGCGCGCCGCCGCCGCCGCCCGAGGGGAGCCGAGGCCCGGCGGGGCCGGCCGGCCGCGGAGGCCGAGGGCGCGGGGGGCGCGGGGACGAGGGCGGGCTCCGTTACCTCTGCCTGTTTCCGGACCACATTGTCGGGGCTGAGCAGGTTTCCCAGGAGCAGGTAGAACTGCTGCTGCTCCGCCGCGGCCGCCGCCATTGCGCTAGGCGTGAGAGAGAGAGAGAGAGAGAGGGAGAGGAGAAGGGAGGGGAGACGGGCGCGGTGAGGCGCGCTGGCGGGCCGCGGGAGGGGCGGGGGCGGGCCCAGCGCGGCGACCGGCACCAGCGGCGGGCGCGGGCCGGGGCGGGGCCGAGCCGAACGGGGGGAGGCCGGGGCGGGGCCGCGCGACCCCTCACCCCGCCGCGGCGGCCGGGCGCGAGGGGCGGAGCGCGGGCGGCCCGGTCGGGGGCCGCGCCGATTGGCCACGCAGCGGTGCCGCGCCGTCACTGGCCGGGCGCGCCGGGCGGCGGCGTGAGGGGGTGGGGCGGCGGCCGGCGGCGGCGAGGCCGGCGGGGCCCGGGGCTGGCCGGGCCGAGGGGGCGTGAGGCCGGCCGCGGAGGAGGGGCCTGCTCCTCAGCGCGGGAGATTTCGGCGCCGCCGGGCTGACTGGGCCGCCGAGTGCCTCGCCGCCGGCCCGAGCAGCGGCTCCCTCACCTCCTAGGCTCCCGGGGCTCCTCCGCCCGCCTGGGAAGGGAAGCTCCGTGGAGGCCCGCCCCCGGCCTCCCCAGACCCCGGCCTCCCCGGAGGGTGACTCAGGCCCCGGGGCTCGTCCGGAAAGAAGGGTTACTCAGCTCCGGCCCGCGGTCATCCCGGGCCGGCCACGTAGCCCACACGCCACCGCCCCCTGGGGCCCTGGCTTGGGGTCCTGGTCTCTAATGGCTGAGGCTTGAGATGCAGGGGCACACCGGTTGGTGTGGCTGAGCTCTCGGGGTTCACAGACGCGCCCCGGGACCGAGGGACCCTGGGCCCTGTTGGCGGCGACCCATTATACGGAAAGAACAAGCTTTCTTGCTTTACCACCGTGGCGGCTAAGGGCCGGTCGGCAGTCCAAGCCAGCGCGCTGTGTCCCAGGCCTAAGCACCAGGCAAGTCCTGGTGAGGCAGTTTAATTGTGACACCCGGGCAGCTCCCTGTCTTTATTTTAAGGAAATTTAGTTTCTGGCTGCCTATTCTAATGCGGTCCTGGTTCTTTGAAGATCTTCTTAAGCTTTTCCCCTGAAATCACTTTAAACTTTGGCTGCGCTCTGAAATCACCCAGGCCACCGTGTCCAAACTGGGCCGAGGCTGTCCCGCACTTGGGATGCCATCCAAGACTTTTCCTTTTTTAAGGACTGTGATAGATTCATAAAGAATATTTTCTCAGTTTTAATTGTGACCTCAGCGAGTTCCCTACAGGAGGCCTGCAGACTTTAATTTGCAGAATTTTTCTTGAATGTTAACACTTCATTCTTAAGATTTCTTCTAAAGCAGACCTTTCATTGGGGACCGCTTTTTTGGTTTGATTTTGTTAGTTATTTTGGGGGTACTTAGCATCCTAGGATTCTGGGATGCTGACTTCTCTCCTAAGGTTAATTTTGGAGGGGTGAGTTTCAATACAGAAGTTACCATGGACTCTGGAATGGCCGTGTCCCACAAGGCAGTGTCTAGGTTCGAGACCCACTGGGCTGTCTGCTAAGGTGCACCCTGGGCAACGGCAGGTGATGGTCCCTGGATGGTTCCTGCCACCCACACGGGGGACCTGGATGAAGCTCCTGGCTTTGTCCATACCCGGCCCTGGCTGCTGTCACCGTTTGGAGAGTGAGCCAGTGGACAGGAGATCCCTGTCGCCTGTTTCTGCCTTTTTATTACCAAAAACCAAAATCCTTGTATTGAAAGGGTGATTTTTAAATACCAGATTAACAGTGATTTTTAAATACTAGATTAACAGTGAAATAAATCGCGTGAAGGCAGATTGAAGTAATTTTTTAACACCTGCTATGATATGTCTTGTTGGCCATGAGTCTATTATGTTCACTTAATATTTGATAAATAATACAATTTTGACAGAAGCTTGTGGATTTGTCAAAATAGGGGGCTGGTTTTTTTTGAATGTCAATTTAGGATTACATCAGAGAACAAGAGAACAGTGTTGCCTCAGGCACTGATATCAACGCTGGGTCCTGGGATCCCTCAACCCTTTGTTAACATTCTGGAGAAGAATTTCAAGGTTGATGATAAAGAGGTCGAGGTCGCCCAGTGGGAGAAACCAGATTAAACTTGAGGCAGATAGCAGATGTCCTGGTGGTGGAGATCAGCCAAAGAGCGCTGAAGACGTGGCTGTGCGGGAGTGGTTTCTAGAGCGTGTTTGGGGAAATCACTCTGCGGAGAAGCCCATTTCCCATGGACAGAGTCCTGTCTGTCTGATAAGAGTATACCTTCCTCTAAAAAAAGAGCTTAAGTGCTATCTAAGGTAGCCCATAGGAATCGATGTATCAGTTTTTGAAATGTCATCAAACTTCAATTTTTCATCTCTAAAATGGGATTGATAAGAAACACCATAATATTATTACCCACAGAGATTCCAACATTAGGGTAGAATTGGGGGTGGAATTCAAGGCTGGAAAACGAGTCTCCCTGGCTCCTCGCTAGCCGCCATTGCTGTTGGGAGGTGAAGGGAACGGGCAGCTCAGAATAACTTCCCGCATGCCTGTGGGGCCTGGCAGGACCTCGGCTACAGGCTGCCGCCATGCTTGCTTAGGTCACACCTTGCAAAAAGTGTGAGGCCGGGAAAAGCGAGACTGGCAGTTCTCTCGGTCAGTTCACGTCATCCAGGTAGTTGAGGATTTTTTTAAAAACATTTGAAAGGCAGAATGGCAGGGAAGGATAGACTTTCCATCCGCTGGTTCACTCTCCCAAATCCCCGAAACAGCCAGGGCTGGGCTGAATCGCAGCCAGGAGCTCCCACGTGGAAGTTCATATCGCAGCTCCTGACTTGGTGTAATGTAAATGAAAGGCATGAGCTGAAGCTGTTCACAATGTGAGGCTGTGGTATGATTTACAGCTACTTGGATTTGACCTGGCACGTGGACAGAGAGCATTGCCTTTGTTTTGTCATCTGCGAAGTGGGAAGAATAGTTCTTCACAGGGTGTTGTAAGATTGTGGAGAATCCCTGTGAATTCACATAGTGTGGTGCAAAGCTGTAATTAGGTGAATTTAGGAGTTAGATAAAAGGAAAGTTTTAAGTCCTCCTAAAGCTACACATGATGGGGTAGTTGTGTGCCTCACATTTAAGGGTGTATAAAGTATATTTCTATCTTTTAGTTTTCTAATCTGCAGAGAAAATGTTTTGTGGAGTAGGTTGTGACTGCTAAGTCTAAGGTTGATGTCATCTCCCACCAGAAAAAAAAAGGAAGTGTTAGTAAAGTTTTTTTTTTAACTGAAAATAAACGTGCTGAACTCTTCACATCTTTAAGCTGATTTTTATCAAGCAGCCTTTGGCATGTGGGACCCTGCCATTCCTGAACCCTAATATCGCACACAGTGGGCCCTCAGCCAGCTGCTGAATTGAACAAGCAGGAGCCATTGGGACTCAGGCACACCCTTTTGCTCTCTGTATTCTGGTTTTATATTTGGGGTTCACTGAATATCTGCAGGTGGCTCAATTTATTTTAGCGGGGCAGGAAAGTTTGGAGGCTAAGAGTACAGGCTCCAGAGTCACCCCAGGCTGAGAGTTCACAATTTACATACTGTGTGACCTTGCCTAAGCAAACTGACCTTGCTCAGACTCAGCTTCCATTTCTGGGAAACAGAGATATTAGAATCATTTCTGACCACTTATTTAACTCTGGCATAGGGCTTGGCATGGGGCAAAGGCTTAATAAGGGTTAGCCGATTTTACTAATGTAGACTGAAATTTCTAAAGTTTGTAAACATAAATCTGATTGCATGTTGACCTGTTGGATTTTTATATTTTTGTTTTGTTTGTGCTTCTATTACCTTTATTATAGAAATATATAATTATAGGAAATTAACTTTTATTTTTCAGGGGACATTTTTAGGTCACTTCTATCTTGAAAACTACTTATACTTGCACTGTCCAATATGATAACCATTAACCACTTGAAATACAACTAGTTCAAAGTGATATGTGTAAGTATAAAATGCACATTAAATTTTAAAAACTAAATAGGAAATTGCTACCAATTTTTTATTAATCACAAGTAAGTGATACTAGATGTTAGATAATTTGATTTATATTAATTTTATTCATAACATACTCTGTTATTAAGATATATTATTCTCTATTTTACTTGCTGGCATATGGCTACTAGAAACTTTAAAAATGATATCTGATTTACATATGTGGATCACATTGTGTTGTATTGGACAGTGCTTTCCTAAAGAAGGACAGCTACCTAGCTCTACAGGGGGTCCCACATCCTTTGCACATTTACATGGAGGAAGGGACTTTGCACCCAGAGAAATCACTCACCTTACAGTTTCCGTGGCTTCCAGTTTTTCAACTTGACCCTCAGGGATGTGGAGACATGGTACAGTACTTTTTGAGCAGTGTTCCTTGCCTGGGAATTTCCTTCCCCTGCTGGTGTGATAGAAACATAATTGTGTACATTTATGACTCTAGATTTTATCTTGTGGAATAAATGCTTATACATTAAATCAAGGACCTGCAATCCTGTGTTTACAGCAGCACAATCTATAATCACGAAGACATGGAGACAGCCCAGGTGCCTGCCGAAAGAGGAATGAATAAACAAACTGTGATACATCTACTCCAGGGAATACGACTAATATTTTTAAAAAATAATAAAATGCTTCCATTTTTAACAAAATGATCCAAACTTGAGACTGTTATGCTCAGTGAAATAAGCCAATCCCAAAAGGACAGTATCATATGTTCTCTCTGATAAAAGCAAACTTTCATGCAAAATACAAGATAAGTAGATATATAAGTAAACACACATATACATATATTCACCTAAATGAAGTGTATAATTTTCACTTACTGGGAAATGAAGATATTTTGCAGTGTGCATCTCTGCTCCAGACTAAAAGGAGGACTTCAGATGAAACTGTTAAATATATCTTGGTAATAGGATGCTGGACATTCTACTATTGTCTATCCCTACAATGTGAGTATACACTTAAATAGCAGAATTATGGACTTGTGACTGTTGCTGAGGACTTCATTATTGTAAAACTATGGGAGAAAACAATGAGGGGCTGGACAGCACGAAAACCGGGATAGGGGGAGGGGTGGCTAGACAGAAAGGCACCTGCCAGTAGGTGTATGGGCTGGATAATAGGTTGGTTGGGTTGAACTAGGCTTCAATGTCCATTGACGTGTGCAAGAGCTAAATGGGATGTGGGACAGACTGGACAAGCCCGCGGTACATACTGGCAAGCATGGGAACCAGGGTAGGGAGCAGATCTGGTAGGGGTTTTGGGGAGTCGCCCCAACTAGGCTGCAGCTCCAACTGGTTTGCATGAAGACCGAGTATGAAGTGGGTAGGATCGAGCTGGACTACAACACCCATTGGTTCACGAGGAAGACGGGGCTGGAAACCGAATGGACCCAGCAATTGCAATGACCAGCATGTGCATAAGCTGATTGGTGTGACGAACAGTGTTGGAGTCTGTACTAGCAAACTCACACAAGAATCAGATCTGGGATCAACTCAGATGAAGTTTCTTTGGATATCTCTCCAACTGAACTGCTGATCTTGGAGCCCCAACCATCAAGAGACTGTCAGCCAGTGGACTCTGAATAGGTTTCATTGCGGTTGGGACGGTGAGATTGGCAGCAATCCAGAACTGATGAACTATCAAAACTGTTTGAGCAGGACCCTTGGAGCGCCCTGAACCCGCGTGGGAGACCTGGAGGAAGTTCCTGGATCCTGGCTCTGGATTGGCGCAGCACCGGCCATTGTGCTCACTTGGGGAGTGAATCATCAGACAAATGATCTTCCTCTCTGTCTCTCCTCTTCTCTGTATATCTGACTTTGTAATAAAAATAAATCTTTTAAAAAAATTCATAGCTACTGGCAGCATAGATGTTGAGCAGACTATACTGTTACTGAGAAGGAAACAAAAAGGACTTTATGGAGGTCAGTATTCTTTAATGCCTCCTCTCCTATGTGTAGTACTTTCTGCTGCACTTGACTGCACATGTATTTATTTAACGAACATTTCATTCATTCATGTGACTGGCAGTCCTGCTGGGCTCTGGGATTCGGTGATGAGCTTGCAGATAGCATTCCCGTCTTCTTGACCTTACGTCTTTTGAAAGAAGCGAGACACTAATCAAAGAAGCCAGGAAGATAACTGCACGCAGTGATCAGTGCAAAATGGGTGAGGAGCTCAGTACGACGTGTGCACGTGGAGTGCTGCTAGGGAACCCAGTCTTCTGACGGATAGTGATGTCTGAGCTGAAAGATGAGGCAAGTGAAGAAATAGGGGAGGTTCTACCAAGCAGAGAAAACATAACAAAAACTCTAAGTCCCAAACAAGTTTGGGGGTAGAGCTGGGGGGTAGAGGCCAGCAATGCCATTGGATGGCTGAGTAAAGGCTGGGATGTGTGTGGTCACACCTGGGCTTTATATAGGACACAGGACCTAGGAGGGGAAGTGAGGAAGCTGCAGGAATTGTAGCAAGCCATTACTGTGTTCCATAATAGATGGTGGCTTGGACTATGATGGAAGCCTCTGATGGTGTCCACAGTGGTCCTTTTTAGATATCTTTCTTCTGAAAATGGAGTTGGCCTTGGATTGTAGAAGCAGACCCAAGTTCCATGACATTTCAAAGTTGTTTGGTTTGGATGCCTTTTGAGTAACTGAGCGGCCCTGATGCTGTTCAGCATTAGTTCTTTGGCAAATCCTTTGAAGGGGTTGAGGTTCTAGGCAATTTTGAGGAATCATGAGGTTTTAGACAACTTGTGAGGCATTATGCTGTACAGATGTATAAGGGGAGGTCTGGAGAGACGAAAAACAAGAATTGATTTTCCTTCATGATAACTCGAGATGCCCAGCACAGTGCAAGGGTGCGGTCCAGCAAGCAGGTAGACAGAGAAAACTGGAGTCCAGGGAAAGGGCAGAGCTGGAAATGTCAGTCAAGCCATTACTTTAAAGGCACTGAAAGTTGTGGAAATGGATGACACTTTGGGATGAGAGGAAAGTCAAGGTCTTATCCCCAAGGCCACTGGTGATTTAGGATCAGACTCAGGAGGTTTCCAGATAATTATAAAACTCAAAGATCTTAAAGGAAACTGGGGATGTTGCACTTTACATTAGCCACTGAGGTTCTGATTCCCGGCATTCTTCTGGTTGTGAAGCTTGCTGTCACACTTGGAAAGCCACTAGTGAATGTGAAGTTAGTTGGCTAAACAAGCAAGCATGAAGGGTAAGAAAAAGTGAATTGTACAAAAATCATCAGCCAAGAAATTTGTTTTTATGTTTTCTCTGGTAGACTTTGCTTGGTGCCAAGAAGTAACCACCATCGAACTTACTTCTTCACCTTCTCACTTAGAAACTGTTGACAACATGGAATTCTGTTGATCATTAAAAGAATTGTATGACAAAATAATGCTGAAATATCAGACACTGTTTTCATCCCTTCTCAATGTAAACATTTATCTAATTAGTTTTGTTTATGCTTAAGTTTGTGTTTGATTATTCAGAGATATAATAGCCTGCACTTTTCAGAATTATGGAGAAAAATTGGGAAAAGGAAGAGAATGTTTTTAGGCTCATCTAGCATGTAGAATCATGGTGATTTGGGGGTAAATCCACCCATTAAAATGCACATGAGTACATGGATCCTGCTATCCTCAAAGGAAAGTATTGTCTCCAGAAATGTAACTACATGCTTGATGGAATAGAAATATTAGCACTTGTTCCCAAATATCATCACTAGAAAGGGATCCCTTTATGTTATTATTCAGACTGGTTAGGCTCAGTTTGCAGAATCTTGCTGCACGAATCACTTGGTTCATATTAAATTAACTATTTAGTGCTTATAAAATAGTGAGTAAACGCTAAATCATTTCTGTGGAACTATGATAAATACTCTAATTTAAAACTAGAAGAAAATAAAAGTGGTTAAGTTATAAGTCATTGTATAATGTTTAAAGATCATATATATTTATCCAGAATCTTACATGGTCATAGATTCTAATACCAAGTCAAGAAAAAGAGGTTAGACAGTGAAATAAGCCAGTTGAAAAGGACAGATACCATATGTTCTCTCTGATAGAAGACAGTCTTCATGCAAGATACACAACAGACTGAAGGACTACGCTACTGTCATAATACGGGAGAGGGCAGGATTGGTGAGAGGCAAATGGGACGGCGGAGGGGGAAGGCGAGGGGATCCCTAGACCTACAAAACTGTATCATGGAAAACAGTAATGACAAGTTTTTTAAAAAGAAAAAAAGGATACAGTGACCACAATACACATGAAAGGACACCCTTTGCTTCCAGCTACTGATTGCTTCCTGAAAAATTTTCTGGCAGAGCGAAATACTTTAAAGTATTATTATTAAAGTGTTAAATAATTTTACATTTCAGATTTTTAAAATCATAATGACAGCTAACAAAAGTTGGGCCTCTTTCTATGCTTTATGCTTCTATGCTTTATCTGGTCTAATTCACTTACATAATCAACTCAACTGCTATAGCATAACAAGATCTTAAACAGTACATTCTATATCGTCTTTAGAAACACGCAATTAATTCTGAGGTAGTGTGGGGAGGATATGAGCTGGCCTTTTGTGTCCAGAGGGCCTGGCTGCCTTGCCGTGTCACCACTCACCCACTCTGATCCTGACCGGGGACGCGAAGCGCATCCTCAGCTGTAGACTGAGGGGGCTGGACAGGGTTCTGAGGGTTTCTGTCCAGTTCCAACACTACAGGGTCCCTTATCAGTTAGCACAGCAGAGTGAAGACTTTGGGAGCCACACCGCATCATTCTCCATGTGATGAGATTACTCTAAATCTCTTGCGTCTGAGCTCTCAAGTGTCTGGTTTAAAGTGCTTTTAAAAATTCATTTGGAAGGCAGAGAGAGCTAGAGCTAGCAGAGTGAGAGTAAGAATGAGAAAGAGAGAGAGAGATCTCCAGTGTGCTGGTAACTGTAACATCTCCTCTAGCTTGTCCAAGCCGAGGCCGCAGGCAGAAGACCAGAACTCTTTCCATGTTGTCTCTGTGGGTGGCAAGGATGCAAACACCTATCGTCTCCTACTGCCTCCTGGGGTGAGCCTTAGCAGCAAGTTGGAGTTGGGAGCAGAGCTGGGAGTCAAACACAAACACTCCCATAGAATGTGGGTATCCTGGGCTCAGGTGGAGCATTGCACCAAGTGAATTCCTTCTTTGCCTGTTTTTCACAAGTATTTTCTTCCCATTGCTCTTGCCTGTCTGCCGTCACTGTAGCTGCAACCTAAAATGACAGCTGTCTGCACTTGTCAATCTTTCACCCCCCTGCTTTGCTGTGTGTTTGGGAACCTGGGTAACCAAGCACAGCAGGAAGTACAGGAGCGGGACACAGGCAGGAGGGATTATGACAGACCTATACCAACCTCATGGGAAGTGCATGCTGTAAAAGGACTATGCGTGGGGCCCGGTGCAGTAGCCTAGTGGTCAAAGTCCTCCCCTTGCATGTGTCAGGGTCCCATATGGGCACTGGCTCATGATCCTGCTGCTCCATTTCCTTTCCAGCTCCCTGCTTGTGGCTTGGGATGGGCCTTGGGACCCTGCACCTGCGTGGGAGACCCGGAAGACACTCCTGGCTCCTGGCTCCAATTGACTCAGCTCTGGTTGTTGCGGCCACTTTGGGAGTGAACCAATGGATGGAAGGTCTTTCTTCTTAATTGCATTTCCCCCCCATGAACGTGTTGAAGTACCCTCCTATTTCTTATTTCATTTAGGATTTATAACTGTGTCCCAAAAGTTTAACTCCTCTGGAGTACGTGTTTGCTGTAGTGATTGACTCCCCTTTAGATGCTGGCGTCCGTACTGCAGGTGCCTGACTCTGAGTGCCCGTTCTGCCCCAGATCCAGCTTCCTGCTGATAGGTAGGAAGCAGGCAGCCAATCATGGCTCAGGGGACTGGCTTCCTGCCAGGAGTCCTGCTCCAGTCCTAGCTGTGGTGGGCATCCGGGGAGTAAGCTAGGGAATGGAAGATCCCTGTCCCTTTCTCTTCTGCCAGTTGCTCTGTTTTTCAAACAAACAAACAAAACTTGTTTTAAAATGGACAGTATACACGGGCGCACGCACACACACACACAAAGTACCACCCATACTAGTGCTGTTAAGGTTTCTACATGTATCTGAAGTTTTCAATGATCGAGGAATAAACCAAAATTTGGAAGGTCTGAATTAGACTTATGTAACAAGGGCATTGTCGCTTTGCAAATCTTGCCCTTTTCTTTGTAAGATGACATTTTGGCCTTTTCACTCCTACTGAGGGGAGAAGTCACCTGTCGCCTCGTTCCGCTGGCAGGCTTTGGATCACAGAGCAGCGGGTTTCTTCACAATGAAATGATGTTTTTCTGTGTTTCCTTGGTTCCTGGCTGCTGAAAACTAAGCTAAAATGTACTCATCTCCAGCCTCTCCAAGGACCTCCCTGTACTGCACACAGCCTAACGGAGGGCTTCGAAACTGGACACACTGAAACACACGGGCAAGAAAGGCCACTGAGGACAGGGTACTTTTAGGCAGTCGATAATCCCGGCAGATTGGATTTTAGTGAACTGGGCAGTAACAGGTGAAATGAGCAAGAAATGGTTACTGTAACTCTAGCAGATAAGAGCAGGAGCTTTTGGTTGTAAAGGAAGTGAGGCACTGAACCTGTGGTGGTCAGACACAATCGGATCTCTGAAGTAACTGCACTTACGTGGGTGCTGCAAGGACCCGGATCAGGGAAAACAGCTGTGGCCGCGCATGGGTCCTGGACAGATTTCTCCCCGGAACCACCTAGAGGAAATGAGAACGCATCTCTGAGGATTTCGGGATTTGTGGACAATATCTTGGGCTATGGAATTGAGTGATGCTCCCTAGGCCCTCAGAGACCAGCTCATTTACAGCCCAGCACCCAGGCAAGCGTGCAACACTCTCCTCCCTCATTCTGGGTTTCTGTCTGGAGCTTCTCAGAGCCATGTGCTCTGACCTGCCCTCCTTCCCAGGCAACGGCCTCGGGGACCCCGACAGCACTACGGGGACCACCTGGATCTGCTAGAGAGACACCTGCCCCTCCAGGGGCTCGCCGCTCTGTGCCCAAGCACAGTGCTCGTTCTCGGCCTTTTCATCCAAGTGTGAGGCTGGGGAATTACTTACAGTAGTCCAAGCTGTTCCCGGCACTCTGGTCACTCCAGTCGTGGATGTCATTAAGCCGCAGTTCCGACCTCATGGCTCAGAGAGGTCACCGTGGAGACACCTGAGGACAATTGTGACCCGCTGCAGCAGGTCAGCAGTGTCAGGCTGTTGGCCACTTCAGCCTGACCAGCACCCTAAGCTCACAAACTGAACCCAAGTGCCCTTAAACCAGAGAAGGGAAAGTCTGTCGAGATTTGAAAGCCATGTCCTGAGGACTGCTCAGACTGGTCTAGAACACCTCACATCAAGTTTACTTTAGAAACCATGAGCACCCGGCCTGTGGATTTCTGTTCTGTTCACTGCTCAATGCTGGAAAGGAAAACTGATCTGAAGACAGATTTAGATGGGAGCAGTGGGAAATTCCTTGTTAAGTTTATGGCATTCTGGTTTGTAATGTGACTGTTAGTGACAAATGCTGGGGAGGAGGTAGAGAAAGGGGAACCATTACACACTAGTGGTGGGAATATAAATTAGTGCAACCACCGTGGAACACAGTGTGGGGATTAAAAAACAAAAAACAAAAACTAATGGGCCTGGTGCGAAAGCCTAGCAGCTAAAGTTCTCGCCTCGCACGTGCTGGGATCCCATATGCCTGCCAGTTCTAATCTTGGCTGCTTCATTTCCATCCAGCTCCCTCCTTGTGCCCTAGGAAGGCCGTTGAGGATGGCTCAAAGCCTTGGGACCCTGCACCCATGGGAGACCCAGAAGAGGCTCCTGGTTCCTGGCTTCAGATTGGTTCAGCTCCAGCCTTGCGGTCGCTTGGAGAGTGAATCATCCTATGGAAAATCTTCCTCTCAGTCTCTCCTCCTGTCTGTATATCTGACTGTCCAGTTAGAATAAATCTTTTTAAAAAACAAACTAGAAACAGCCGTCCCACTACTGGGTACATGCCCAAAGTCGAGCAGAATGAATCAGAGCCACCTGCCGTGCCATGTTCACAGCAGCATAGCCACCGTAGCCAAAATCTTGAATCCACTAAGGTGCTCATTGTCAGCGGAACGGAAAAGCAAAATGTGCTTATACATGTACAATTGAATATTAGCCAAGTACTGGAAAAAAATGAAAATCCATCATTTGCAGAGCATGGAGTCACTGAGTGAAATAAGCCAGACCGAGAAAGATTCACACTGGCTGCTCTCTGTTATATGTGGGAGCCCGGCATGATAGCCTAGAGGCTAACATCCTCGCCTTACATGCACTGGGATCCCATATGGGCACTGATTCATGTCCCGGCAGCCCCACTTCCCATCCAGCTTCCTGCTTGTGGTCTGGGAAAAGCAGTTGAGGATGGCCCTGGGCATCTGGGACTCTGTACCCATGTGGGAGACCCAGAAGAGCTCCTGGTTCCTGGCTTCAGATTGGCTCAGCACTAGCCATTGCAGTCGCTTGGGGAGTGAACCACCTTTCCTATAAAAATAAAATCTTTTTTTAAAAAAAAGACTATTAGATTACATCCTATCAGTTTGGGCCCATGACATGCTAGTGCTTCACTAGGCACCTGATGCTGACTAAGCTGATGAGTAAATAAATTCCATGTTTGTATTGGAATTTGTATTGGACAGTCAGATATACAGAGAGGAGGAGAGACAGAGAGGAAGATCTTTTGTCTGTGCCCATATAGAATCCCAGCGGATGTAAGGCAAGGACTTCAGTCACTAGGCTACTGTGCCGGGCCCATGTTTTCCATTTTTTAAAAATTTATTTTATTTTATTACAAAGTCAGATATACCGAGAAGAGGAGAGACAGAGAGGAAGATCTTCTGTCTGATGTTTTACTCCCCAAGTGAACGCAACGGCTGGTGCTGTGCCGATCCGAAGCCAGGAGCCAGGAACTTCCTCCAGATCTCCCACGCGGGTGCAGGGTCCCAAGGCCTTGGGCTGTCCTCAACTGCTTTCCCAGGCCACAAGCAGGGAGCTGGATGGGAAATGGAGCTGCCGGGATTAGAACTGTTGCCCATATGGGATCCTGGCACTTTCAAGGCGAGGACTTTAGCCGCTAGGCCACGCCGCCGGGCCCCATGTTTTCCATCTTTAAATTGTTTGGTGGGAGTCGTACTGCTCCTTTTGTGGGTCCTGCTTGTTCTTTGGCAGTACCAGGGCCCAGCACTGTCCCTCTCTACTGTCTCTGCGCATCCTCTATATTCTGACGTGCCTCCTAGCTTTTTCATCTCCACTTCCGTCCTGTGCTGTGTGGTCACCTTTTTGCTCTTGGGCAGTGTTCTTTATAACATTTTACTTTTGCAAGAATGCACAGGGTTTAAGAATCAATGAATGGGGGCCCGGCACGGTGGCGCAAGTGGTTAAAGGTCCTCGCCTTGCACGTCCGGGATCCCATATGGGCGCTGGTTCTAATCCCGGCAGCCCCGCTTCCCTTCCAGCTCCCTGCCTGTGGCCTGGGAAAGCAGTCAAGGACGGCCCAAAGCTTTGGGACCCTGCACCCGCGTGGGAGACCCGGAAGAGGCTCCTGGCTTTGGATCGGCATAGCATCAGCCATTGCACTCCCTTGGGGAGTGAATCATCGGACGGAAGATCTTCCTCTCTGTCTCTCCTCTCTGTATATCCGCCTTTCCAATGAAAAAATAATAAAAATAAATCTTAAAAAAAAAAGAATCAATGAATGGCTAAAATGAAGATGGCAGATATGATAAGGACCCGTTTAAACAGATGTAGAAGCATTAACCAGGGTGAAGCAGAGAGGGCACATTCCAGAAGACAGGAGAGGACAGGCCGATGGCAGAGGGGCACCTGGAAACTGCCGGACGTGGGAAAGTAGCGGAGACAACGGTGTGGGGCAATGACAAGACACCCCAGTGGCAGTCAGCAAGTGACGGTCTGAGCTCCAGCAGTGACCAGAACCCCACAGGCAGCTAGTCAGGATGGAGAGTTCACTGGGAGCTCAGCAGGTGAACCCAGGCCAAGAACTGTCTGTCCTGCTGGTTTGTTTGATTTGATCAGGAGCAGAGAGAAAGTAGCAGCCCCCACAAAGGCTGTGTGGAAACAGGGTGCATTTCACAGCCCAGACCCCCAAGAGAGCTGCATCAGGTCACCAGTTTGTGCTGGGAGGCAAGCATTGTGGAACAGGACTGAGCGTGCATGGAGTTTGGAGTGAACTCATTTCTGGCTCAGTGCATTACACCAACTTAGCAAACTACAGGTTCCACCCAAACTAGGTCCGGGTAGCTCCCAGACCTAACAGCCAGCAGATCCAGATCTCCACCATGGCACATCAGGCTCCCGTGTTGTACAGTGTGGCAAAGGCTTTAAGACTGCAGGGTTAACAGTGAGCTGCACATGTGCTGACCTGGGAGTAAACCCAGTTCCAGATCAGAGCATTGCACTGGTCCTACAGGGAAAAGAATATCAATCTTGTACCCTATGGGTCAAAATAGGTCCGGGTGTCGCTAAGACCCAATGGCCAGCAGGTTCCAACAAGATCAGCACCAACAAAAACCTAGTATTTTAGGATATCTGGCATCTCCCTAACCTTGGGGATGCTCAGATTGGGAGTGGGAGAAAGGTTGTACAGACATGGTCAACCTTAGCATGGGATCACAGGAGGAGGGGAGTGGTAAGTCAGGAGCTGGGCCTACAGAGACCATGACAGACGCCTAATGCAAGAATGGAGACCTGAAACTCACTGGAGAGAGTGGCACAAGTGACTGCAAACAAAGAATTAGGTACCAACTGCAATAAGTAAAACCAAATAGTAAACTATTTAGAAACCTGCCCTAAGAATCTGTAACCAGAAGTACAATGACCAAGAGCAAAGGAAGAGACAGAGGCACAGTGAATATTACTGAAGACTCCCCTTCAAGGGAGCAGAAGGCTTTGTCAACTTCTGAGTTAACTGAGGAAGACATGGAGAAAATAGCAGAATTCGGAAAACTCATTCTAAATCTTCTAACAACAACGAGAGGCATATAAAACAGGAGTTCAAGGAACGGAAGGAGTGGATCACACAGGAAACAGCAACACTGAAACAAAATCAAACAGAATTATTGGAAATGAAGGATGTAACAGAGAAAATTAAAACTTCAGTGGAAAGTCTCCGTAACAGAATGAATGAGGCAGAAGAAAAAATTTCACCAGCGAAGATTAGCAAAAACCATAGCTCATGGATTTTGACGTTTCTGTTTTTACTTTCATTTTTTCAAAATAGTGTTTTTACTCATATTAAATTCTTCATTGACATAAAAAAGAATCAATGGATGATTATAAGGTGATTATGAAATATATGAACAACCTTTTTAAAAAATCATTATTTATTTGAAAGGCACTAATGATGGAGGGAGAATCTTTCATCTGCTGCTTTATGTCCCTAATGGCTCCAACAGCTTCCTGCCGTCATCAACTTTCATTTTTGGGAAGGTTAGGTTTGCACACTTAGAAGAAACCTCAGATATTATCGTCACATTCATATTTTAAGTGGAGCAACATAACAACTCATGACAGGGATGCATGGAAGTGTCGGGAAGCCCAGTGCTGTCTTTCCCCATCGGAGGCAGCGCCCTTCGTGAATGTGGCTCCACAGAGACCCCACCGCCCTGCTCTTCTTAGAACGTGCTGCACTGTGTGAAGCAAGGCAGCTTGAGCAGGGCTGC